TAATTCTGCACCCATCTTTAGTTTGAGTTGTAAATAGAACACGGATCTTCATGCTAAATAAGAATTATACTCACCGATTGCAACAAACATAATTCGAATAGAAATTTCTTTCGCCCTTTAATAATTTCAGTATTTCAGTGTTTTCAGTATTATTCGATAGTATTTATTCAGTATTTTCAGTTAAATATTTTGAATATTTTCGTTGTCTGAAATTTCACCTATCTATTTTTATCACAAATACTTAACAATCCGCAGTCCAGTTATGAAGCTTGCACGACTTTTCCGCGACAATAATCGTTTGCACATCCCAGAAGAGAATACGTTGAAAATTGAATAGAAAGTCAGAGGCAACGTACGTAGACCACTTTCACGGATTTCATAATTCGTTGAATCGAATTTCGGGTGAATTTCAACGGTAACGTGACGAATACGGTATAAATGTCGGCTGAAGCCTTCGTCTCTTCGATCTGTTATCGAAACGAACCCTTGGCAAGCAACACCTTGAATTAAATCCCAGAGGGACCGAGGTCGCAGTGAAACGGTTCGCAGATAAAGTAATCGACGCACGGAATCCTGGTGGATTCGTCTGAATTTCCGTCGAGCAGCATAATCGGCCGTGCACATTTCCATCGAACAGGCAGCGCACGCTTTCGATCGTTGCCGGAATCGCGTGAAATTACCGGGGCCGCGGGTTCAGAATAGAAATCATCGATCGGAGTGCATCGGAATGCAGCGATGCGCTCGCAGCGAACGCGGCGGAAAGGCGGAGGAGGAGGATCGTCCTGCCGAATGGACGTTTCGCAACCTTCGCAGAAAACCGCGGAATCGATTTTCCTGCGATGGAAACGCGGCGGATCGGCCGCGAGCGCGTAAGGATCAATCGGAAAGGGGTGCCTCGATTAGCATAAACGTTTGCGTGCCGGCGTCGCCGCCTGTTGCTCCACATTCCGCAGCGCGCCCGTAACGCAGCAAGGTCCCCCTTTGTCAAGGATGAAAAATTCCTGGCCGACCGTCGCATACCGGCCCCTAATTGGCGACAATGTTCTCCCGACCCGCGGAGAAATCGCCGGGACCAATTAAAGCCCATGGAAAATCCTAACGAGTGCTGAATCGATCGGATCGACGCTCGTTCTTCCCATCCCGCGGTGAACTCCCAGGGTATCTCTCGTTGGTAACACGCCCAACGTCGACTTTTCCTGTGGGAGAATAATGGCAGTGAGTGATCCGGAGACGTGTTACACGAGCCTGTCCGCTTGGTCAGAGTTTATCGTGCCCATTGTGTGGGAAATGGGATACTTCTCGATTGGTTTGCCTCCATCGCGTAAACTCGGATGATTTCCTGGTGGGCGGAGTGGAATTGTTAACCGTGCCGTTTAAAAAGTCGAGGTTTATCTGACAGATTGAAGTAACAGAACAGGATCCTTTATATCTCCGATCATATCTATACGATATCTAATATTTAATATCGTATCTATTAAAAATAATAATAAATCTTGTATTAATGTATACCGGTAAGAAGCCTCTTTCTTAGAGAAAAAGAGATTTTGCATAGCCATCACACTGATACTAAAGAAAATAAAGATAATGAGTAATACTAAAGGATACGTAGAAAATGTAAGAAACAGTATATTATGTATAATAAATATATATGATACAATAAATCATCAGACATGTAAATTATATCGTTATTAAAATAAGAATACAAAAGAGAGATTACATGATTCAATCGGATTACCATAGTTCATTCTGCATCCTATCAGATGAACAAGAACTAAATACCACCGCAAATAAAAAAGAAAATAAAGATAATGAGTAATACAAAAGTATACATAGAAAATGTAAAAAACAGTATATTATGTATAATAAATATATAGTAGATACAATAAATATGTATAATACTGGAAATGTGATCAATGAAAGATCATCAGACATGCAAGTAATATCGTTATTAAAACAAGAATACAAAAGAGAGATTACACGTTTCAATCGGATTACCATAGTTCATTTGTTTTCTCAATCCTGCATCCTATCAGATGAACAAGGACTAAGTACCACGCATAAAAACCTCATCTTCTGCAAGACAGAAATACTTCTTAGTCTTGTACAAAAAACAAGAAGATCAAGTCTGGATGGAATAAGAGGCTTGCGCACTTATAATTCCTATCCTTGCCGACTCACTCTGAAAAACTTGAACCTGCATGCTGATTTGCGGTTTATTTATTGTGCCCACTGGGCGGTGCACCGATTAATAGTTTATTTTCGATAATTTAATCGACGATAGTTTAACGAGTCAGGCGAAACACGTAAATACTACTTGCGAGCTGATGATAAATCTGTACAATGAATTCTGTAAACAGCATCGTAAATTACTGAATGCTTTGGTCTCTGTAATTAGGCGTAATTTTCGTTCGGATAAGAGTCTATGAAAGTATGTTTGCCTCGGCTCGCAGAGAAAGAAAAAAGAAATCGTCCGAGGAATGGAATCCCCCTATGGTGATTTCAACGCCATTCACGAATTCACGGAGCATGGAGTCCAGACTCTACCGCGTTCTAATAGCGCATCGACCGATTCTTACATAATTGGAAAGCGTGCCGGGATTTTCATGTGTGTTATAAAACTGCATTAATAGAACGGTAATTAAAACGTTGATGCTCACTGAACAAGCTAAGTACTCGGAAATTAGCGCAATAAGCTCGGCCAGCTGCTCTTCGACAGCCAATTTGTAAAAAAAATATATCAAAAGCGAACTTATCTTCACGCTCGATCCGCGGAGAACTACAGCTAACTACTGTATCGCGTTGCTTTATCGAAGTAACGGGAACGGATTCGCTCGGATTTTTGCGATTTTAGTGCACATTCCGCGTAAACGCATCTTTGAAAAATCTCAACGAACCAGAACTGCGAGATTCGCCTTCGATCTTGCTTCGGAAACCACGCCAACTTTACCAGTTGACAATTTTTCGAATTTCTAGACAATAAATTTGTAAAAATTGATTTTAGCGATCTCGTCTAGTTTCATAATTTGCTTTGCTTCTTGTACTCAAGATGCACAGAATACGTTTCAAAATTTTCATCCCCGTTCGAACAGTTTGTCCCAAATCATAGATCGTTATGCAAAATAAAAATTCTGCGAGTAAAAATCGAGTAAAACTGTACGTTCTTTATATAATAATTTCCTTCGAAATCCTTCAAATATCTTCGCAGCCATTTTTCGTCGCAAGTGCGTAAAATCTCTGCCGATTCTTACGCGAGAAGAATCTTTACCCGCCTTCTTGGGGCGGTGAAGGTGCTTCGATTCGACGGAGAAAAGGCGTCCAAGATGGAGCCATTGTCATAAACGTGTTATTGCGGAGAGATCGAATTTTTTTCGCGTCAGACGACCGATTGCGATCGAACTGAAGCAGGTTCGACTTTTTGCTCCAGTCACTGTCTCACGAGTAAAGGCGGTCTACTGCACGTGACCAAGGTGCACGCGTGACACGTGCACGCATGCCAGACCCAGCAAACTGTTGTCAGTGGGTCTGGCCGCGGCCAGAGGCGAGGAAAAGTTAGAAAAGGCTTTGCGAAACACCGGCGGAATTGCTTTTAGTACCGGCCCCAGCGCTCTGTGTCTCGGGGTGGTGCATTGTTTGACCTTGGTAGGCGCAGACCGCCCGGTAAAAGTCGCTGCATGTCGAAAGAGCCACGGGGACAGTCGCGCGGCGTTCTCATATTTACCGTGGCCGCAATTAGAATGATATTGCGCTGGCTGGAATTTCAGGACAACGGAAAATTTCAGTTATTACCCGCGCGATTTGCGTAATTCGATGAATTCGGGACGCCCTGCAGGGAACGCTGGAGGACCGACGCTGCTGGCGGAGACTAATTTTGCGAACTTTGATTTGTCCTGATCGCAGAATACGCTTAAGTACATGATAACTGGAATGCTTATACAAATCTTCTCTTGACCAGTTAATTGTGTTTGACGAGTATACCCGTTATGGAGAAGTGGCAGCATTTTGTGTTGTGACGTGTATACTCGTCGCGCGTAAAAAGTAGTGACCATTGGCTGTTTAAATTGTAATTTTTGTGGAAGCAAAAACATATTCTGAAATTTCAAGATGTTTAGAATATTTTGAGGCCAGACCAGAATAAAACAAACAAATAAAACATATGAATAATTCGCGATATTGGTGTTCGACATGCAACGTACCATTATGTATCGTTCCTTGCTTTGCTGAATACCACTCTACAGCAGCGATTTGAATTTTTAACTTTCATAAGTATTTGACTTTTCTTGCGTTTTTCGTTTATTATGTATGCAGTATATGTTAATGTTGAGTGAATAAGTAAATATTAGTAATAAAATTGTTAATTTTATCAAATAAAACCGTATTTTCGGTTTTATTTATTATTTTTTAGTTATTTCAACGGCGACACTTACTCTGTGTTTGACGAGTATACTCGTCATCGTTTGATTCTCGCGACACATATAGGTGCGCGCTTTGAAAAGGAGGCGCCACAGCTAACTGGTTAATCCCTTACGCTATTATAACGAGTCATACTCGTGATTGGCTAACATAAAACCATAATAGACTAACGCTAAACCTTCCGTGGTCAGAAACCAAATTGTTGAAATTATAAATAATCTTTCATACGAGATGGTTGAATACATTTTTTTAAATAAATAAATTACTAATTATTTTTATCACTTAATAATTATTACTAATTATTTTTAAAACGTAAATAAATTCAACTCAGTGTTATACATTTCTCCTAAATCGAATGAAATTTTGATTCTCCCGTTATGAACATGTAGGAACAACGGTAACTGGGGGCGTACTAGAAATAAAAATTGTCTCACACTTCTCCTTGTTCACTTACAGTGTCCTTGGAAGGTGTCGTCAGATAGAGATGATTTCCTTTTTCTTATTCTGCTTCTATTTCTGTTCTTTCTTCTTTGGCAAGAGCCTGATTTCGAACGTGAAGTAAAACGAGTATTGTTGTTCTCATGTTGCAGAAAATTTGACACCGTCGGAACTGAAGAAATTGAGAAACAAACAGAGGAAACAACGCAGAAAGGCTGAACTGGAACGGCAACAGGCTGCCCAGGCTCAAGAGAAGAGGGAGCAACACAATAAATCGCGACAGCAAACCGATTCCGACCTGGAGCAACCCACGTTGGACGAACTTATACCGGAAAAATTGGAAAGGGTGTGTATCACTATATAACATACTTCGTCAACAGTTGGTAGATGAAATCGTGAGAGTTGTTCTCCTCTTATTCGAACTTATTCGAAACGATTGCCGTAAAATTCATCGGATACTTGCCTGAATATTGAAGAATCGTGCATGCTGTAAACGCAAAAAGTCTGCAATTTATGGATCGTGTGTCTAGCAATTGGAACAAGACCTGAAAATGATCGTTGCTTCTAGGTCGAGGATCCACTGGAGCAGGCGATCAAGTTCCTGCAACCTCTTCAAGATTTGGCTGCGGATAGAATAGAGACGCATTTAATGGCATTCGAAATCTACATTCGCAAAGGTATGCAAGCATTCAAAAATGCTTACTTCAAGCTATCGTACGGTGACCAAGCATTACATCATAATTACTTGTTATTTGGCTGTCATGTTGGTCATCGAATTACCTTCAAAGGACAGTATTGGATGACCTTCAAGTTGTAATATTCGACTTTTACGTTTCCACCTATAAAGAGTCAGTGGCGCCAGAAGCCAAGCAAGTTTCGTCTGAGATGCATTTATTCTACCGCCAATAGCGAGCGAGACATTGGAGAGCCCTGTTTTAAATGGTCCACCCTGTGTACCGTAGTCTTATTACTGCAGCCTCGTTACTTGAACAGATGACGATTAGTCTCTCGACACCCTGTCCCGCTGACGTCTTAATAGCAACGTGTACGCACAGTGCCCAGAAAAGAATCGAGGCTGAACGGTGGCTAATTGAAACGCGTTGCGTTGTTGTTTTTCCAGGTCGCACGTTGCTGATGCTGAAGTCGATAAAACGCGCTCACGGTCTGGACCCGAACAATCCGGAACTGCACACGTGTCTGGTGCGTTTCATACTGCACACCAGCCGTTCACCGTTAGAGGGTGCAGTCGGGGAGGTGGTGCACCACCAGACCTCGGGCATCTACGGTAATTCGACGGCCGGCCAGTTGAACGCGGAATTCCTGAAGAGGAATCGGACGTCGCTTCCGCATCTGCTTCAAGGCGCAAAGATGATGTACGTGCTGGATCCGTTGGCCCAAATGAAAGCTCTGATCCAGGTGACGAGCATCGACAACCTGGAGGGCGTGACAATACCGATCTGTACGAAAGTGCTCGAAGCGTTGCGTGCTGGTGACTTCGGCGACTGCGAGAACACGATAGCCGATTATGTGACCAAATGCCATAAGCGTTTCCCGTACGCGACCGCCTTCTGGCCGGAGACCAAGGCGACCGCCAACCACCAGGAGAAAGAGAACTCAATCAAGAACTGATCCAGGTACGCGCGCGTCAGCGTCGCTGAGTTAGTCCGTAGTATAAGGCGACGGAAGAGGGAGGAGAGAGAGAAAGAGAGAGATGACAGAGAACAGCCGGAGGAGGACGACGACGATGAAGAGGATAACGAAAATGAGGAGATGGAGGTGGAAGATGGTGTCTGTGCAAAGCATCTCTGACCACTAGCTTTGGGTAACATGGAAATCACAAGAAAGACGATGGAAGGACAGGCTGACGAAGGGAATGGAATAGCTGAAGAAGAACTGAAACGAAAATGAAAGGAGAGAGAGAGAGCGAGAGAGAGAGAAGACATAGTGAATGAAGGGGAAAAGTATCGCGAACAAATTGGCGGATATTGATTTACGAGATAGAGTCACATGTATTATACACGGAACTGTTCCTGGAGGATTTCATGTTGTGTGAAAACAGTGCTGGGACAGTGCTGGATAAACAATCTTTAATAAATTATACAACACGACGAGCCGCGCGAACACGCGCGTCTCCGAAGCCGTGGTCCCAAATTTTAGGTGGACGAACAACCAGGGGCAACCAGAAGGGGATGGCTAGTAGCTAAATATTAATTAACGATCGGGACGGATTAACGAACGCCGCGATCCAACGATCAAGAGATAACGGGGGCTGGATCGAGGACATTCTGTGTGACGTTCAGTGAAGAGGTTATATCACGGTCGGCTGCTGAGGGGGTGGGAAAAAGCGCGCGTTCGGGGGCTAGAACCGGGGGTGCAGTGTGTAAAATATAAATGACGTGCGAAAACTAACACATTGGTACAAAATATAAGACTTGTATACATTCATACGCGCGCGCGCTCTAGGAGATATTTCTACTCGATGTTAAGGTGTACTATTTTCAGCGATGTCTACAGAATACACTCTACTGTGTAGAGTCTGGAAACGAGACGATCATCGAGCATCCGATTATTGTATTGTACCACACGCATGTTCGTCGCTACATTCGAATAGACTTTGTTCCAAGTCGCATACTAACTTCTAGTTCACTTCATTCGCAAGACTATACTGTTTGAAGCTTTTCGGGGAAGTACGGACAGATTGACACACACTGCCGTCGCTCATTTTCTGCAATGGCTGGATTACAGATTTCTTGCATCTATGGGCTGAAATGAGTATTGAAAGAATTATAGATTGTAATTTATAAAGATTGTTGAAGAAAGAAAAGCATTTTTGAAAGGATTCGTATCAGCAATATCTCATGAATCGAAACATTGTTTTGTCGATAAATGAACGTTTTCATCACTTTGTAAGAATACAATTAAGGTAATAATTTGAAACACTCGAACTTGTTCGTCTGAAAATCTTGACCTCTTAATATGCACTCTCTGAATTGCAGCAAATGAGCGACGTATGAAAACAGACACACAGCCACACACATACAAGTACATAACAGGTACATTTTATTCCTGTGTTTCAAACCAGGGTAATGATCTACGTTCTGATTGGAGCCCTGATTTATTCCATCGAGAACAGTCAATAAACGGGAGTAGTGTCCATTTCGCGAAAGTCTGTGAAAGTTACTATAAGAACAATAAGCTGCGTATTGTGTACGCAATTTACCAAAGTATATCATAAATCGAGAAACAATAAGTATCGAATAGCAGAACGATGGAAATATAAAAGAGAAACAGAGAACAACGGGAAGAAGAAGAAAACGAAGAAGAAGAAGAACTGTCGTGCATCTGTACGCGAACGGATTACAGAGATTTTAAATAAAATGATAACGTTGGAAGTCTACCGGCACACCAGCCGAGAACCGATCTTATGATTACCTCATTTAGTTTTGTTTCATTCTTTTTCGTCTCTCTTTCCTTTTCAAAATATTATCGACGCAAAATATATTTATTAGCTGCGTGAATTTCCTCTCGAGCGAACAGAAGAAAATTCAGCAAGTTGCAGATACTACAAATTAGTGATAATATTTGTACATACTTTCAGCTACTACCTTTAACAATGCATATAAATATATATACAATCATATTATATGTACACATCTCCTGCCTTACTTAAGTCATAGAAATGTATCATTTTCTGCGATCGATTAATCTTGAACGCCGATTAATATTAATTGATATTGATTAGCGAACGAAAGCAAAACTATACAAAATATGAGAAAAACAATCGCTCGAAGCGGACTCGCGACGGTAATCATAAACAGATAATTGCATCGAGTGGCATCCATGGTAATGTATACTCGTCGATGTTCGAATCACCCGCGCGTATCTGCGCACTTTCCAGCCGGGAAATTCAAAATCTGCGGAAATTTAGACGATGGAATAATCTACAATAATTACGACCAGTGAAAAAACTGACTGGTGGGCCGAATATCTTCTGTAAATGCATGGAATGTTTCTCAGGGCTACGCTTGTAATTTATCGTAAACGATACCGTAGATGACACAGAAGTTTCATCGGCATTGTTCAATACTTATTTCAGAATCCGTTGAACGATAGGTAGCTCTTGTAAATTTTTATGTATACATCATTCTCCATTGTCATACTCAATTTTTGAGATATTCACCTTTTAAGAAGAAATCCTTTCGCCTTTAAAATGAAATTTCTAGAAAACTGAAGATCTGAAAAATGTAAAAGTATTAAAAATTACTCTATTGAAAGGTAAAAAAAGAGTTAAAATTCGCGTTGGATAGTGTAATTAGTTATTTCGCTGTTGATTCACAATATCCAATCGGCCTGTGGGTGAAGTGCTAATTAATCCTTGCCATAGACATAAGGTATCAAAAATGATGCTTCGATCGTATCAACGCCGTCGTTTCACCATGCATCTACCGAAGTGTTAACGAATTTTTAACATTGCTTTTCTTTTGATACGTTTTCTACAAATACACTTGGACACTTAGCAAAGGTATCGCCTTTCGAAACAGGCTGCAAGTCGTGCAGGTACATTAGACGCTCCAATCTTTATCGGGGGTTGTTATTTGCAGTTTAGATAATTTCTATCTCGCTGATAACGGTTATGCGGAAAAATCTTTGGGAAAATAAACAACACCAACCAAAAGGATGGTATATTACACCGATCTTTGTCAGGTTCAGTTCATATTTGCCTTCGAGACCTTGATTTTTGATCCAAGGATCAAGACAGATAAAGGGTACCTTTGTCCGCATCCTCTTCCATCTCCTCATGTAAATGAATTCATCATATAGACTCCGTATAATACTTCTGTAACGTATACGATTAACGACTAAGATGATGTGTTATTCTAAAAGAGAGTTAAAGTGGGAGAAGCTGATGCTTTTACAGAGCACGAGTTCGATGATTTTTTATTTATAGTAATTTTATTAGAACGTCACTGCCATTCGCGATAAGCAGTTATCATATAATTTAAACGATTCGTACTAACATACCAAACGATTTGTTGCACGATCATTCGAAAATGTTAACCTGTTCGAAACTGAACGGGACTTATGGTCATGTACTATTGTATAAGTGTTAATGTCTGTATATTTAAGATTGCACACGCACCTTCATTGCATTATATATTTTTCTATATGATGAATTCAATATATAAATATAAATAATTACTTTCTTTATGTAACTGTCCTCATTATAGTTGTGACTACGAGCATAAATGAAGTAATATTTTAAAGACAGAAACTGGGATATGTATAGTATGTACATAAACGTATTATTATTACCATATATATCAAGAAAATTTGTTCAATTTCTCTTTGTTGTTACATTAATAACGAGTCAACATGAAAAATATTATATCGCGTATCAACGGTCGCCCTTTCCTCCGTGGTTTCATGGAGAAAGAATTAAATGATGAATACTTGTTACGTACTTCCATCATGCCATACTTTATTGTATCAGTGTTTACACTTGTACAGGAAATGATTTGCAACTCAGTTGCAGACAATATTACCTTTAAAGTATCATATATTATCTTTGTATTATTGCTAAAAGTTCTCTCGCCTTCTGTACATTGTTTTATTTATTTTCTATAAACCTCATATGGTTAATGTTAAAAGGTGAAAAAACTGGATAAAACGAAGTATTCTTTATTTCCTGAACCCAAAAGAGCATTTCACATGAATTGGTAACTCATTTTTTTCAAACGCGCCAGCATCCAGTAGTGCCACAAGACACAGTTTCATTGATATTAAAAGTAAAAATTCTTCAAATCATATAAAACTATTGCCAAATTAGTAATTCTAATCTACATTTTAAATCTGCAAAGTGTCAAAAACAAATCGAATAAAGTGTGAGTATATGCATATCGACACCCCAAGGCCAACGTGTAATTAAATTATTATATTAAAAAAATGACATTTCACATGTTTCAGAAATTATTTCAACTTTATATACGCGATGGCTATGGAGTACGGATGCAGACATTATTTTTTTTCCATTTCTATATTACCCATACTGAATTTATTATAGATATTTTCATTCCTTGTCTTCCACTGAAGTGAGGGTTAATTGAGACATTTTATTATTTAATGCTGGATTAGGGGGTAATTCGGTCTCACTATTAGTTTTTGTTGGAGTGGGGGGTAACTGTGTCATTGTGTTCCAATCGATCTCTTTAAAATTAATTACAATGCTATCGTTTTTTGGAATATATTTTCTGAAACGGAATATCATAAATTTCAGAAACTTTAAAGAGTATGATCTTAATCAATTTCATTATTAAACTTTGTTTTCTCACAATTCTTTTATCGAAAAATATTTACTTCTTTTAAATTTGTATATCTTTGCAGGATTAAACAATACGAATATAAAAAATACGATATTACAAATACATTCAATGGCCACACCAATAAAGTCCATGTTATTCCTTCAAACATAAATAAATAAAAATAATTGACATAATCAATATACCTATATAAAACTCCTGACGCATCAAACAGTCTTTTAGCAGCTTTTGTCCCATTTTTCTCGGCATTTTTATCTGACATATACACAACAGTTTTAATTCCTGATTGTATAATTACCTTGGCACATTCGTTGCAAGGAAACAAAGCAACATAAATGGTACAATCTTTAATATTGCTGGAGTTTTTGTTCAAAATAGCGTTAAGTTCTGCATGACATACTATAAACAATACATTAATAATATATTAAAAATAATTTTTTTTATTTATTATTATTTTATTAAATATATTAACCAATATCGTAAAGAAATTATACGTCTACCGTTTAACTTACCATAAGGATACTTAGTTTCTAAATAGTTTTCGGATTTATTGGACCAGGGAAAATCATCATCACTGCATCCGATTGGCATTCCATTGTATCCAACACCCACAATCTTTTTTTCGTTATTAACTATGCATGCACCTACCTGAGTAGATGGATCTTTACTTCGTTTTGCAGCCAGAAACGCTACCGCCATGAAATACTCTTCCCAGTCGATGTAGTTCGCTCGTTTGCTGTAGACATTGTTTAAAAAAAAAAAAAAAATATTCACTTCTTTTTAATGAAAATTGTATTTATTAAGTTCCGATACTATAATCGACATACAGGTTATTCGTGGTCTTAATGGCAGTATTACTTTCTGCCATGTTTTTGGTACCTACGGCGACGATAAATTCTTACAGAAACGCAATGTGCTCAATGTGACAAATAGATCTGACCGTTATCGTTATATACACAGTATTCAATGTATTCACATGGCATTACAATTATTTTTCAATTGCAATTCACATATTATAAGCCGTATTTTTGTTTATATTTTAGCCGTACTTAATATAATATTTCAATGAAAAAGCATTGAAATATTAATTTTTATTTAATCGTAAATGATTCTTGCAGTTTTTTCCATAAGTCTACCTAATATTCAGCATGAATTGTTTTGGATAGTGACACGTCTTGTGGTGAAGTCAAAAAGCTCTCTTTAGGGTTCGTGCAGCGCCAATTAGTAGGTGGCAAAATGCTGAAACTACTAGCCAGACTAGCAGTTTCATCGTTTTGCTATTTACTAATTGGCGCTGTACGGACCCTGAACCGAGCTTCACTTTATCACCACAGAAGGCGCCAGAAGTCTATCAATAGTGGTAAATTTGAACTGTTTTCGACTATAGAAGAAAAAAGTACTCACCAATGTTTCAATTCTTTGTGTACAACCTTTTCATCTGCTCTCATCTAAAAATTCAATTTAAAGGATAGAGATATTAGGTAAAAAATTTCGGCCAACTTTTCTTTACTGTATTTTTAACTACGTCAGTAATCCAACTGAGTCAGCAGAAAGCTTTCCTTAAAAAGTTTGTAGTCTGTGACTGTAGATCTTCAGTCTGTAGTCCAAGTATGTACTCAAAGAGGTACTTGTTGAGTTCCTGGTTTTATTGACATATAAAGTTAAGTATTCTAAGTAGAATATTATTCTCATGTTACACAAATAAATTGATGTTATATAATTTTATAAAATATACAAAATGGAGAGTGCAGCTGCTTCAGTTTTAAAGCGGGCAGTAGAAATGGATAAAGGTGAACAGTACACAATGGCTTTAGTACTTTACCAAGAAGGTGTTCAAATTCTACTTGACACTATGAAAGGTATATATTTTGCTTATGTTTTTTATTTGATTACACTCCTATTTCATTGATAACAGAGTCTAAAAATAAATCTTATGCGCGTATCGCTTCTTTGTTATTATTTTTTTTGTTTTTCTCATATCGAATCTGTTTCTGCTTTATTCTTTTATATTACTTCTTTGCCTCAAGTATACGGATTAATTGAAGAATTAGTAATAAAACAATGCAGAGACAAAGGACCCAGTTACCAAGAAACGTTTTGGTACCAGGGCATCAGAATATTTAGATAGAGCAGAAAAATTGAAGGCTTTGATTGACAAGAAGAAAGCAGCTGGAATCTATAGAGAATTGACTAAAATTGAAAGTGGCAGTATAGGACATGGTTATGATTCTGTATTTGGCAGATTCTTAGATGCATCTGTACAATACATTTGTATTGAAGATCCATATATAAGAGCATTTCATCAGGTACCGTTTTATAAAAGTTTAATTTTATTTAAGTAACTCTGATAATAACACTATGATTAGATTAGATACTGACAGTAGAACAATATGCCAAAGAAATACATGATTAGGTTTGAAGAAACAAATGTGATCATTACAAATTTTTCTCAAGACCATTATCTAAAATTTCAAGATCATTGATGATTTCTTAAATGAAACTGTATATCTTTAATAGTTTGATGTCTAGTACTACCGCTTATTTTTATTGGTCAAAGTCATACAAATGTCATGATACCATAGTTCATAGAATTCACCCTGGTCTTAACCGTAAAAATATACACTTTCATTTTTAAAAAAATCGATAACCTTGAAATCTCGAAAAATATGACATTGAAAAAAATGCTCGTAAACCAAAATATTTGTCTTTTTGAATTTAATCATGTTTTCTCTTGATAATGTCGATATTAACCGAGATATTTAAAGTAGCCTAGTCCATAGTCAAAGGGTTAATACATTTAATAATTTTACTAATAACAAATAAAAATTATTTTCAGTGTCAAAATCTGGTGAGATTCTGTGAATTGGCTGCAAGGAAATGTCACGCATTGTCCAAAATATGTTTAGTTACTACTCTTGATGCAGATGACAAAAAAAATCAAGTAGGAAGATTGGAAGAATTGAAGAGAAGTTTATCCTCTTCTCTCATAGACTTTGAAATTGAATATTCCAATACTTTGCACGATAGGCAAATAATGTACGTATCTTCATGTATTTATTTATTGAAATTAATTATATTCTATTGGCACTTTGATTTACTTTCAGACTTAGCAACGGTTGGGTAATTAAAATAGGTCGAGGTTTAGACTACTTTAAAGCTCCAGAAGGAAAGTTCGTGTTAGGAGCATGCGACCTCGAACTGAGACCATGTTTGGAAACGACAATTGACATATTTCACAAAAGTAATGTAACAATGCTGTGACATAGAAGATCACATGCGGAACATATACAAAAAGAATTGTTACATTTTCATGACATTTTCATGATTTTAATGCATTCATCGAGAAACAATTTTATTTACATTTTAATTCCACGAAATATTGTACCTGCAGAGTATAATAAACTCCACTTTTCCTAATAAAGTATTTTACGCACTATACGATGTATCTACATACATGTACATACAATAAAATTAATTTTTTAATAAATATACATATTTTTGTTACATAACTATACGTATAAACTAAATTGTTTCCTTTCTACAAAATATTATAAAATTTACATTTTAAAAAGTCTTACATTAACAAAATCTAACTGAGTTCACTGTAATCGCTAGCCTTCGCGATACCAATCTGTTTTGCGGCTCTTTTGCATGCTCTCCTCAAGGATTTTGTGTACCTCAACAGTCCAGCTTCAACCTGCTCTTCATCTTCTGTCAAAAGATCATCAGCTTTGTAAGAAGGAAGACAATCAGTGCCGCCGACAGCGACAACCTGCCTAGCAATCTCTGGATCCACGCACAGCCTGGTCAAGGCTGCAGCTGCGGTGATTTCTAGACGTCTATAGGCGTCTTCGAGCCCTGGTGGTCTCATTCTGAGAAAAGAGACCAGTGCAATGGACGCTCTGGCCTCTGCCAAATGGGGTCTGGCTTCAGGGATGCGCGCCAACTCGCTGATAAGAGCCGCAACCTGCTCCATCAACCAAACATTACTGCCAGTTGTTTTCTTCACGCTCTTCAGTAACTTCTTCACAGTATTGTGCTTTAATATCACAGCAGCACATGTTCTAGACTTGGACAGATGATTGAACGCGGCTGCTCCGAGCAGCAACGTCTGACTACAACTGGTATTCTCGACTAAACGATTCAAGGAGGGTATAAGACTCCTTGCAAAAGGCTCCAGGTCAGGCAATCCCAAAGCATTCACCCATGGAGCTGTTATTTGGACCACCAGCGCTGTGGCTTCCATTTTCTCTTTCTCCGAAGAAGCCGACGCAGCTAAGAGGTCTGTCAATATTTCTGGACCATCGTCCTTGACAAATTGACTGATTGCAACAGCGGAGCTACAGACACTCGCCAACGCGCGCAAAGAGGCTGCCACAAAGTCGCTAGACGTCTTCGCAGCTGTGATTAAGGATGTTAGAAGGGCTCTGATGCCCGAACATCTGGTAATACTGTTCCCTGCTCTTGGTCCTGCCAATCCCAACGCTGTCAACGCTGCTAAAGCGCCTCTGGCTATCATTGTGTCATCTTTTGGTGCCTCTTCTAGTCCTCTGATTATCTTCTGGAAAGATATATTGATTTTAGAGTGAACGAATGATTCAAAAATTGAAATTACAGCATTTGGCGGGGGGTGGCGGGGAGAACAGTTGCATACCTCGATGTAAAAGTCCAGTCGCGTGTCCAGAGCATTATCTACATAGTTCTTCAGACTCTCCAGTTGCGCTAGAATCTCCTTCAAGCTGTTTTGTCGAATTCTGCGAGATTGGGGTGCTCCTAGTTCAGACAAAATAGAGAATGCATCGTCCTCAATGGCTCGCAGAAGTTCTTTCTCGGATCTGCCACCTTCCAGATGAGCCACTTTGCTAAAAAGAGATGTTCTCTGTATTCGAAGTTCTTTTCTCGAATTGTTCACTGATATCTAATAGATGTACATACTCGAATATATGCTGATAATGACGATCGAACTGGTCGGCCCTGACGAGCAGTTTATTCGCAGCAGCAGTGGCCAACGACGCGAGTGTCTTCAAGTCCTTCAACTCGTCTTTCTCGGACAGAAACTGATGAGACTTCCTTGGGGGCAATGTTTTGCTCTGAAGAGTGTTCGTGCACTCGTTCTCGATATCCATCACAAGATCCCCAAGCCACTTTCTCACAGAAGACGATTGCCTGTAGCTTCTGGATTGTAGAAAAGACTTCGAGGATGTCTCGGTGTCACAACTGGTCCCTATGAACGATGTCCTTGGCTCCACTGCGTCCTCGGGTGGCTCGGTTGTATACAGGAAATCGCCTAAACACTCGTCTTCCACGGACACAGACGGGGCGATTCCTGACGCGTCTACTTGGTCCTCTTCCACTCTGAAAACAAAACGTTTCTTCGTTAATTCCGGCACAAGAAAGGGATATCACGATCACAATTGACACCACGAGTTTAAATTTTCGGCTCTCGTAACATCGGCAAACATCATTGCGCAAGATCAGCATACTTGGGAAAGCAAATAATTTCTTCAACGCTGGAAGTATGCGATTGTTTCATGACATATCAGTATTTGCTCCACTTGCTCGGGAAATTCAATTACGACATCGACGACCGACGATCAAGCTCAAGATACGAGTTGTTAACTTCTATCCGATTTACGTACTCTAAATTTACTGGAAATGAACCATCGCTTTTGGGAAAATCCAATAACGCAAAGCCACTCAATTTTTATACAATTGTCGAGGACGGTCAGGCAACAAATTATGTTACAAATTTTTCTGCCTGATATATCGATTAAAGTTTTGAAAAACCGGTGTTGTAGGTGAAATTCGACAACCGATTCGTAAATTTGAAAAACTCGACGAAAACGTCGGCTATCTTAGATCGCGAAAGTTCTCAATTAACAACAGCAGCTGCTTCAAATTCTCATCGATCATAAATTTTCTAATTTTCTGACAACAGGTTCACATTCAAAATAAACGAACTTCTACATGTTATAAGTCAACTTAGCAGTACAAGAATCATTCGATAAAGATTAAGCCGAGAAGGTTGTCGAAGACAACCCACTTAACTTATCCGGAACTTAACAGATAGATGCTATCGAAACGTTCCATGACCGACGAGAAGCGACGAGGATACCGATAATCCTCACCCGAGTGATCCTTAATAGCTGCGAGAGTGCAGAGGCTGGGTCGTTAAAGGTATCTACGCTACCTGAGTCGTGCCATATCGAGACAGAGGTCTCGACTACTGTCGCCGGGGCATAGTTAAGGCCCAACCACTGTCCAATTCGGATCTGCATAACCAGGTGTTCCTTTTCCCGAACAATGGTGGAAACCGCGGCGAAACTTGCGATACACAGCGAACATTCGATGACTAACGATCGGTCACCTCCGGAACCAAGAGTCTCGTACTTCACCGACACACCGGTGACTAATCGAATCCCATTTCTTTCGCCTAAGCCAGCACCGGTATGCGATCACCTGCGCAACGATTCACGGTAGCGCCTGAATTCTTGCCGGGTTCGCTGTCGTCTGGGACCTCAGGCCCCGAGGTTGACTCAAACCTCCATCGTTCTTTCATTTACGTATTCCCCGTGTGGCACGTTGCATTGAATCACGTACGGTCGCGCGTCTCGATCTACACGGTGCCGCAATTTGACGGGCGACGGCCGCAATCAAAGCCGAGAACTCGAAATTCTTGCCTTAAAATTTCAATACAGAAACCTGGATTCCCGCTTCTAACGAACTCTTTCCAATTTGTCGTCGATGATAATAATAGTCGAGATCAACATCGGTTTCAGGAGCTTCTTTTCGAGATGCCGCGTTCGTCGAATGAGCAACGAGGAAAATATGTAAACGATGCTTATAATTCATAAATACGTAAGATCCTAATTGGTCTGGTGTTGGCAACCCAAATCTAAATTTTCTTGTATCACGATTAAGTATCTCTTTCTCAATTAATGGCAGGCTATATTTAACAACTGGATCAACCGGTGAAATAGGGGATTTCTTCTTCTTATCATCACTCCAACATTTATAGAATTTCCCTGCTTGTCCTATAGCAACTATAGGGACACGAAGAATCGGGTGCATGAAACGACCGGATATCACTGAACCTTGGGTTGTAAAGAGGCAAGTTTTACTTAGTGCAGTAGAAGCGGCAGAAATGATTTTACGCGTTGATGACACGTGATTGACTCGAAATTCTTACCTTAAAATTTTAATACGGAAACCTGGATTCCCGCTTCTAACGAACTCTTTCCAATTTGTCGTCGATGATAATAATAGTCGAGATCAACATCGGTTTCAGGAGCTTCTTTTCGAGATGCCGCGTTCGTCGAATGAGCAACGAGGAAAATATGTAAACGATGCTTATAATTCATAAATACGTAAGATCCTAATTGGTCTGGTGTTGGCAACCCAAATCTAAATTTTCTTGTATCACGATTAAGTGTCTCTTTCTCAATTAATGGCAGGCTATATCTAACAACTGGATCAACCAGTAAAATAGGGGATTTCTTCTTCTTATCGTCACTCCAACATTTGTAGAATTTCCCTGCTTGTCCTATAGCAACTATAGGGACACGAAGAATCGGGTGCACGAAACGACCGGGTATCACTGAACCTTGGGTTGTAAAGAGGCAAGTTTTACTTAGTGCAGTAGAAGCGGCAGAAATGATTTTACGTGTTGATGACATACGTAATTGACTCGAAATTCTTACCTTAAAATTTTAATACAGAAACCTAGATTCCCGCTTCTAACGAACTTTCCAATTTGTCATCGATAATAACAGTCAAAATCAATATCGGGAGCTTCTTTTCGAGATGCCGCGTTCGTCGAATGAGTAACGAGGAAAATATGTAAACGATGTTTATAATTCATAAATACGTAAGATCCTAAGCCTGGTAACAATTCATGAATCATGCGTCGATGCAGATGTAATACAGCTTATAACTGACTTTAAGGAAACGTTTCAAATACAATTTTTCAAACAAGCGTCAAGCGTCTTCATCTTTCTTCTCCCGAAAGTTCCTGTTTCTAATTGAGCGCGATGTAGTCCGTTAAATTGCAATAAAAGAATAAACAAGATATAAAAAGAAAAGAAAGAACGCTCGTTCGACAAGAATGAAAGATCTATCTTTGTGAATTGTCCTGAATGTCTATGGCCGTGTAGTCGTCGCACCGCGATGCGAGGGACACATAACGCGTGCCACACGACCTTGCCGATCGTGGGAGGATCTGCTCCGCGGAAATCGAATGATCCCAGTTCGAAACGGACACGCTATAGACGAGGAAAATTGTTTTCTATCGACGGTACGAAAACGCATCGCGTTCATGCTGGTAATAAGCCTCGGCGATGCTTCTTTGTGCCGTCTGATTGGCTTTCGTTTCTCCTAGGCTCGATCTTTGCCCTTCCCAACGAATATACGCTGGAGAAGGACAGAGATCATTTGTTCCTTTGTACTACGTTTTCTTATCTTCCAAGGCATACCTCGGACGAATCTCCAATTTCACATTTTAGCCATAGAAAGACTATCAAGTAATTATCTTTACGGCAACGATCCGAGCAGAACTCATCGGATTATGCGCGTCGGATTACTCGAAACAATTTCTTGGATTATGAAAGGAATTGCCATCGATGCAGAAATTCGATCGAGCCCGTAATTATCGATCGGTTCTCGATCGTTGATCCTCGAACGATTGTTAGCGTTAAGGAATTTCGTTAAAGAAAAACTAGCGGTGTCTGTCTGCCGTCGAACAAATAGCCGTGCCTGTTGCTTCGAGAATTTGATTCGTATTCGAATGAGATCTTGGCTCGAGAGCACAACCGATCTCTGTTGTACTCGATCGAAAACGTATCGCGTGCCGATTCGTCGGGGACGGGTATGCAAATCGTTTGTCTCCGCGGTAATCGGCAACGTCATTCTAGAATCTAGAGTATAACCGACTGCTCTGCTTTTGAGGAGCACACTAATTTGTATCGTGGATCCTTGGATCGATGGGCGTACGTATTAATCAATGTTAATTGACGACATGCCCCGGAGTTTCCCCGCGCGTTCCGATCCCGTTCCAAAGTTCCCGTCTATATGTATAACGAGTATCGGATCTACGATTCTCGAACACGTCACACATAAGAATTGCTTTATTCACTTCCTTGAATATTAACCGAGCGATCTACGCGTGCAAGCCGTTTCTGTTTAGCCGCTCCGAAAAAAGTACGCGGAAACCAGCCTACGCCGCACTGCAAATTTGTTGTTCCAGCAGATAAGAATTGCATGCGTAGTTTTTATCTACTTAATGGGCAAACGTACCAAATTTATCGGCTGCTGTCGAATAATCTACTGCAACTCGCGTACGAATATATATATATTTACGAGAATTATAATTATTATATATATATATATATGTAATAATTCTCGTTTGCTCGGATAACGACACTTTGTTCATTTTTTAAACATTATCGTTTGTCGTGACCACGGTAACAATTTTTATATGATCTGAAAGTTTCTCCATTCGACAATGATGTAACAATATTCTCAAATTCGTTAATGTCTGTTCGGCTTTGTTTAAACGAAACTTCATCGCAAGAGTTAAAAATGCCGAACTTTAATTCTACACTTCTGGCATAATCGAATAAATTCGTTTGATTTTATAGTTGAAAGACGAACGGCCCAAATATAGTTCGATAAAGTAGATTTAACTGTAATTTGCATTACGATGCGGGTGATCGAAGCGTTTAGTATTCCGCACGATCGGTTGAACTAATTCCGATGCACCTGGTGATTGACGACCCGCGTACGTGCTCGCATCGCTCAGCCATCTTGCAGGGGTGAGAGTTTACGAAACACCGGAGGAAACAACGTCGGAAGTATCTTACGTGATGCATTCCTATCGCTTTGCTCAGCATGGGCACACTGTCGTGACGATTCATATTCTTAAAACACGCATTCGTTGCACCTTATCGCTCGGCTACAAGGTGCGGCTTAGTTTCAGAGATAGTGGCCCTTCGCAACGAGCACCTTGATCTTGCACCATTGGCACCAATGCGTAAAACAACGCTCGGACTGATTAAAAACGAATTGGAATCATTCAATGTCTACGATGATCTTGATCGGATTTGAACGATCGCGAACGCATCCTCTTGTAAATTATGAAAATCACAGAGGGTTCATAAATCTCTAAGGCATCATGCTACGTGTTTCAATTTTCTTTGCTCAAAATACAAAGCCGTGGTCATTTGAGACAACGAAGTCATTAAGACTCCGATAAAGAATTGTTCAGAATCAATTATCAGCATGATCAACTGATCGGCGTGTCTCAGATCAGCCCACGCAAGAATATCTGATCCCCAACGTTTGCCTTCTCCGTTTTATCTCCAGATATTAAGTCTTTTATACTAAAATTACCTGTGCGTTCTTGACGCGCTTTTATCAGGAGGTGCATCGAGCTGCGTTGTTTTCCGAGGCAAAATTCTGGAGTCCTTGGGCGTGGACGTGCATACGGGATTCGGAGTAGATCTGTCCAGCCAGACCGAACCGATCCTCGAATGCGTACCCTGGCGCCGGTCCTTAAGCCTTCGTCTTCGTCGACGTCTTGGAGTCTCGTTCTCGTAAAGCTCGGAACAGTGCGATCTCTCGGAATCTGAGAATCCTGAATCTAGACTCTTGAGATCGTGACTCATAGGACTGCAAGATCTGTTCGCCAGGACCACGTTATCCTCGTCCTCTTTGTCATCGTCCGCTATGTCCATCGTTGCTCTGCGAAAAATATGCGAAAGTTAGGGATTACTGTAGTGTTTTATCATGGAACAAATATCTTCCATATAGTCGCCAATAAATATCTTGAGAATGAGGTTCTATCAAGGGCTCTGTAACGCAAGATCTCTTAATACATTGACTACCATTATTGACTATACTACTATATATATACTACTATATATATACTATTATATATATACTATACTACTACCATACATTGACTTCCCGAGAAGTATCCAAAAATTGGAATAATTTCGTTAACAATACTAGAACTATAGAAAGTCAACATTTCATTCTGTACATGTTTAAATTGAACCTCCCGATTATATATAATATTTAAGACAAACATCCGTAGTTTAACGATTAAGACTCAAACGTAGCACAAGGGCAACCGTATTAGCATTGAAATCTCCAAAAGGACCCCGCATCGTTGGAAAATCGACGCCTAAAGCGAAAGCGTTTAAGAACTCTGCACTTCATGCACTCGTCATTTTGCGAGTTCAATTGCACTTACGTCTGTGTCATTACGTCCCCGTCGCAAATCGATGCCAGGGAATACAAATCCTGCCTGTTTTCTGCAGGACAGACATGAATCGCTGTGATGTTTTCAACGGTATCGCTTTCGTTAACGCTCGTAGAGGACTCTTCCGGTAGCGGTTCCTCACAAATCTTCGTCCTGGCGAAAGGGCCCAACCGTCCCTGATCCTGCGCCTCCATGTGGCCCCAGAACACTTTGCTCTGGTGTCTTTTAAACGCACTCATGATTCTCACGTCGATTTACGATCGAATTGCAACTTATTCCTAACTTCTGCTTCTTTCACTTTAATGTCTTTCAAGAGCTTCTTCCGTTTCACCGTTGGTGGTAAGAATAAGGATGAGTTCTGTAGTATAGTTCAGCGCACACTGGGGTGGTTTCACGATTCAGCGGAGCGGGACGACCCTCCCACAGGTCGCGTGCCCGGAGGACCTTATGGTGTCCATCCCGGTGTAACCCCCGTGAAGATCGCCTATCGCGTCAACGCGGGACGCTTTACACGAACCAGTACTCGAGGTCCTTGTCTTCGTAGAAACGTTGGCAAAAGCTTAGCAGAAATAACGGAAACGTAACAGAATTTGTTTGTCGCTGTGTTGGATCGATACACCAGGGTTTATAATTGCTTTTTTAATTGACGGTTTCGGTTATAGGATAAACAACGGATCCCTAATCGATAAAGCCGGAGGATCGATCGATCCAAACGTAATGGGGCTTCGCGAACGACTGACTCGTATCGAGGATCGAGTCGCTTGAGTCGCTTCCGACTTCCACCCATAAAGTCGCGCTGCCTCCCCGCCCCTCGGACTCGCAAGCCAACTCGCATGAAAACAGAGCTCCTCCCCTTCTCCTTTGTGTAGCGTCCATGGGGTGCTGCTCACCTCTCTAACGAGTACGCGTACCCCCGTGTAATCCCGGCATGTGTGACCCATGTGTAACCGCCAAAGCGTAACTAGCTGCTTTCTCGCGACGGGGATGCATTACTGCATTGGCGTGAACAGGATGTCTGTCTGATCGGTCCTCTTCATTATGGTCGTTGACCCTGTTTTCTTTCTTTTAATTCGAGCTTTGCGTCAAGACTTTAGTTCAATCGTTAGTAGTCTTATTGATTTTGACAGATAGGAGTTGTACTTCTCTATTTTGAACATTCAGAATATTTTCCCTAGACTATTTCCTTTAAAATCACTTTCATTTCGTGCTTGAAAGTTTTTGAAATCTACTGCAGTTAATAGTGAACAATACAAAGCAGCTTGTTTCTAAATGTAGGAAATAAAAAATTAAAGGCTGCTTATCTTAAACTGACCTATATAAAGCTTGATTAAACTTCTTCTTGTTAGTCACACGACTCTCGTGCGCTTTGGAACAACCGACACTCGTGAGTCACCTACTGTTTAGCAGCACACGTTCCCACAAAACTTGAATAACATTCGCTCGATTCTACTGGGTGAGAAAATTGATCAATGCGTAAATATATCATTATTATTAGGACTGGTGATTGCAGAACCATTACCACGATAAATGTTATCTTCTATCTTTGGTGCTATCAACTGGATTTTCTAGAGATTACAATTTGTTGCTGGAACGATTGCAGCAATTGTTGCAATAGTCGTTCGCAGGTCAAGATTATGGTGATTTTGTTATCTGCCGTGACAGACGCGGCACGGGGACCGTCAGAAAATCACGCCAATGCTATTTTTAAGGGCCAGGTGTGACTCCGGTTCCCTATCGGTCCCATATCCGTGTATGTGCACGCGCGGGGGTCGGGCTCCCCCCCATAAAACGGGATGCAGCGGCATTTCCACCACCATGAATCCAGGGGCACGCGCCACTCCAGCCATCTGCGTGAAATGCCTCCAGCGATGAGTGTCCCCGCATATACGTAAGTGCCTGTGGACGTGGATGATTCACTTTAACCGTGTTCCTCTACGACTCTACGCTTTAATCGTCGATACAATTCGATCGGGCACATAACATTATTGTAACGCGTTCTTTCTACTCGTCTCTCCCCCACAAAACCATTGTACAGACCGATTCTGAATCATCGTCGCATACGCATTCTGCATTTTTAATTTAGATACTCGCGTTAGATATTCGGTTAGGCTATCTTTTGAACTTGTCTTATACCGTTAGGAGCAGTAGGTGCCCAAGCATTGTGAAAGTATTCTATTTTATACAGTACTAGTCTTTATGCATTTGTGAGCAAAATGATCAAATGATCTAAACAATAGACTATAATTGTGTAGAATTAATTACGAAAACGATCGCGAAAAGGTGCGCGGGTGCACGCATAATTTCGTATCGTGTATCATTATACGGGTGCTGCATATGCAAATCTATGATCGGAGACGCACTTCCTTCGGTTCGACACAGTTGTATAATCTCGTTTTCCATCAATCATCCTGGAGTCGCATTCATGACCGGGAAAAGCAAGATTTCTATAATTACTCTCTCCATACAATTGATTTTCGGGCAGTCTACTATTAGATCTATCTATCAATTGCTAGTTTCTGTACCTCCTACGTTTGAAAAATGCTTCTTTCGCTCCATTATCCGTTGCTAAGAAAATTCCTATCCGAGGAGTCACCCACCGGTTGACGAAACGGTCTTCAATGGGAATTATGGTGCCTTGTAGTCGCATGATTTTGATCTGTAAATTACAGTCTTGTTGAGACATTATGTACCATCGATCAGAATAATGAAAACAGAAATACTTTGATAAATTTTGATAAAAATAATATTCAAACGCTTACATTGTGACAGATACGGTCACCGGGCAATTATCGGGAATCCGTAAGCTCAACATTCTGTAACGTCCGGTGTTTAAATATCTTTGTCTCGATACACCACATATGCGCTGGAACGTCTGCAGTTGAACATCGCATAAAAGCATCAAAGGGTCTGTACGACCCCTATTGTACTCTAGAGATCCAAACGAAAATGGGGGACAGCTGGGTTTAGACCGTTATTTAAAGGTGCGCGGGTTAGTTGGTACGCGCCTGCTCAGATTCATTGGCGAAATTTAAATTTCCCAATGATGTCTTCGGAAACCTTCATTGCATGATTTTTAAATAATTTCGAAATTTTAATCGTACTAGCTAGCTGGTAGTTCGTATATCCAATGCAGATGAAAAGTCTGACAAATTCTTGTATTACATGCAATAATAATTCTAGCAGAATAATAATCCCAGCTCAATATTCAGCGTGTCGATTTAACCTTGACATAACCTTGACATATTCAGTAATTAGTAACTCGTAAATGTTTGCAGGTAACATACCCAGTTTACCGTTGGAAAAAATACAAACATTAATACGCTAATGTCTCTCTAATTGACGCTTAGATTGTCCACAAAAATGAACAATTTTGGAAGAGGAGAAACAATTGTTCGAGCCTCGTGGCTCGTTTTTTATGGTTATCGATTGTCAACGACTATAAAAACGAGCTGCATGGCTCGAACAATCGTACCTCCTCTTACCAAATTATCCATTTTTATGCGCAATCTGAGCGTCAGTTAGGGAGACATTACTGTACTTCATAATATTTTAAATAATATCTTTTATGTCGTTGCTTAAACTTTTACATGTAGAATGAATGTCATTTTTATTAATGATAATGTAATATTTGATTGTATGATGAGAAGAGTATTACTTATTTAAACATTCATATTGTTGTACCTTTTACGAACCTTAAAAGGTATTAAATTCGGAGTCGTAAGCGTCGTGTGTTGGAATAATAGCGCCATCTACGTTGTGAAAGAAGGTTCTCGGAGTTTTCTTAGAAACTTTGTTATGAATGGTTTATTCTGCTTCTCCAAAACCTGAATCTGTTAACTGATTCGTTCTAAGCAATTCGTATCCTGTCGGTGAACCAATAAAAAAGTGTTCCAACAGAATACGGAGTACAGAAAATATATACCGAATGTTGTAGGTGGAAGCGCCATCTGTAAAACGATAATTCCTTGTAATTGTGCTTTGCTGTGGAGTTGAAGTAACGTTGTTCTGTAATAAATTGTGTCCCATTGTTTTAACAGTGATTCAGAATGGTAATTAATCGCTTTTATTAATCTTGTGTGCATAATAAATAGGTATTATGTTAGTATCGTCAGAAAATAAAATAAAAGCGAGCAAACTTTCGTTGCCCGGTGTCGTATATGAAGGTGTGACAAATGGCGCACGTGTGTCACTAAAATGATTTTTTCAACTCTAATATTAATTTCAAATGCCGAACAATTGTTTGCTAAACATTACAAATTCGTGAGAATTGAAGTTTCCGTATTTAGCGATTTCTTGTAAAATTAACTTAAATAAGGACTTTGTATAATAAACTTTGTTAAAGAACGCTGCGTTTAGAAACATTTCGTATGCACACTATACAGCCTGAATTTTGATTAGAATGTGTTAATTATAAATTTAAATATCCATACACAGGTGTCCTTGAATCCTGTTAGGATCCTCAAGCATGAGGCAGAAGAAGAAAAGGCAGAGATTGCCAGATTAAGTTTATTTGTAGGAGCAATTACTCTGGGTGATTTGGTCAAATCTACGCTTGGACCTAAAGGTATGGATAAAATATTGGTGGCGCACGGTCGATCTGCAGGACAGGTTCAAGTCACCAATGATGGTGCAACTATTCTCAAAAGCGTGGGTGTGGACAATCCAGCTGCTAAAATTTTGGTAGACATGTCTCGTGTGCAAGACGATGAATTTGGAGATGGAACCACATCTGTTACAGTGCTTGGTTTGTATATTATTAAATAGAATTTCAAAGTTCCTTATAAAAGCGAAATAAGATGGTAGATTGCATTAATTTCTATCGCAGCTTCTGAATTATTACGGGAGGCAGAGAAATTGATTGATCAAAAGCTTCATCCCCAAACTATAATTGCTGGCTGGAGGAAAGCCACTGAAGCAGCTCGAGAAGCTCTATTGAGCATTGCAGTAGATTATTCTGATCATCCTGCTCGTTTTCATGAAGAGCTATTAAATATTGCGCGTACAACGTTAAGCTCGAAAATTTTGTCTCAACACAAAGAACACTTCAGCTATCTTGCACTGGAAGCTGTGCTACGTCTCAAGGGGTCAGGCAATTTGTCAGCTATTCAAATAATTAAGAAACGCGGAGAAACCCTGGCAAAGTCTGATCTTGTTAATGGATTTTTGTTGGACAAAAAGCCTGGAATGCACCAACCACAAAGAATGGTTGATGCTAAAATACTTATAGCCAACACACCTATGGATACAGATAAAATCAAAGTGAGTCGAGATGATTCAAACATGAGCTTATGATAATGAGATTTCAACGCATCATGACCAACATTTGTACAAATTTGCAGGTATTTGGATCAAGGGTTCGAGTTGATTCAATGGCGAAAATCGCGGAATTGGAGGCAGCAGAAAAGGAGAAGATGAAGGTAATTATATGATCTGGACAAATAAATATTAACGTCACTAATAATTATATAATTATTGTGTTCAATGTAGGATAAAGTCGACAAGATCATAAAGCACGGCTGCAACGTATTTATCAACAGGCAATTAATTTATAATTATCCAGAACAATTATTTGCCGATGCTGGTATCATGGCAATCGAGCATGCAGATTTTGATGGTATCGAGAGACTAGCTCTAGTTACTGGCGGAGAGATCGTCAGCACTTTCGATAGCCCCGAAACTGTGAAACTTGGACGGTGTCAGCTCATTGAACAAGTGATGATAGGTGAAGACACGCTGCTGAAATTCTCCGACGTTGCTTTGGGAGAAGCGTGTACGATAGTCATCAGAGGTGCTACGCAACAAATTCTCGATGAGGCAGAAAGATCTTTGCACGATGCTCTCTGCGTATTATCAGCTACCATACGCGAAAATAAAATTGTTTATGGTGGAGGATGCAGTGAAATGGCGATGGCTTGTGCCGTAATGAAAGCTGCGGCCAGAACTGTTGGAAAAGAAGCAGTTGCAATGGAAGCATTTGCTCGAGCTTTGCAACAATTACCCACTGTTATCGCTGACAATGCTGGCTACGATTCAGCTCAATTAATTAGTGAACTCCGAGCTATGCATAATTCCGGCGGAAAGACAATGGGTCTTGGTAGGTTTACATTTTACAAATACTGATTTGATGATGTTGAAATATAGAAGGATGTGTACAAATATTATTAATTGCAGACATGGAAAAAGGAACAATCGGGTGCATGAAACGACTAGGTATCACTGAATCTTGGGTTGTAAAGAGACAAGTTTTACTTAGCGCAGCAGAAGCGGCAGAAATGATTTTGCGTGTTGATGACATTTTGCGAGCGGCGCCCAGAAAACGCGTCAAGGACTACGGACGTTGTTAATTACGCAAACGCGCGTGTTCTTTCATTGCTTTAATTTTGTTTGCACCGCTTCTTCGTGATACGAATTCTCTAATCAAATGGTAAACATTTTGATTTCAATTATCATTCACTTCGACAATAGATTAATTGCGAAATTATCTATATAAACATATTGATTCGGTTTCTGCAATCACGTAAGTTGTCATTTTATACCGCGAAATCTTTGTATTATCGATCGAAAAAACACGTAAAGGGATTATAAAACAATGAAAACGACTTGGGATCATCATTTTTTTATAACAATACAATAGGTTTAACATCAATAAATGCTTTAACCTACATAGCATTTTTTACTAACCTTTGCACTGGTGATGTATCTTACAAAAAATGAAAAATGTTTAATCAAAAATACTTAAAAATTGCATTTGTAGAAAAGATGGAATTACAAAATTTAAAAATTACTGTCTTTCATCTATAAGACATTTTTCTTTTCCTGTGGACAACTAAATATTATTATTGATATAAATTCTAAATAAAAAATAATTTAAATGAATTTAATCGTTCAAATAAATACTGTTCTGAACATTTTCATGTGCAAAATTATGTTTTCAAGTGGTTTATGTACTTATTTATATAAAACGGAAAAATGCATTGTCCTTAAATGCTTTTGGACATATTGTACAACAAAAAAACAGCCTGATAAGCTGGATGCAGTTTACATTTCAGTGCAACGAAACAACGTATATGGTGCTCTTAATAAGCAAATCGCAATTTTGGATCGTATCCAAGTTTGTCGAGGTTCGGATTACAAGCAAAATTAATCATTGGTGGTGGGCCGCACATAAGTACAAGAGTATCAGGCGATGGTGGAAACATGTGTTTTTCTATCATTTCTGCATTTATATGCCCTGTACTGTAGGTCCAATTTTCACCACTGGTATCCAGTGTATACCAAACCTTGAACTTTTTTGGATAATCCCTTGCGATCTCGTCTAATTCATTTCGCAACAATATGTCTTTTTCGGTGCGATTTGCATAAAGTAAGGAACACGCAGTTTCGTGTGTGCTGTCTTTCCTTATAGCGCGAACTATTTGCAGCATTGGTGCGATTCCTGTACCACCAGCTAACATTACAATCTGTAAAAAATTTATATTTTATATCCTGAACTTTATAAGTATAAGGTATAAAGTGCGTTCACAGAACTATGTTACTTTGTTAGCACTGTAATCTGCAGCTGGGTCTTTCTTTAGAATTTTTATGGAAAACTTTCCATGACCCTTATAGATAAGTCTACCAGATGGTCCTCTAAAATCTACTGTCGCCCCAGTTTTCAAATTTTCTAAGAATTGGGACAGTTTCCCTCCTTCAGGGAATTTTGGATGTACATTTTTAAAGTATACCTTGAAACAAATTTCAACATTTTATGTATCAGAATTATTTGTAAACTATCAGTTACTGTTTTCCCATTTACTCTGATCACAATATCGACAAAGCCATGATCATCATCACTGGAGATTGGTGTATAAGAACGTGTAACATCTTCTCCATCGATTTTCGCTGTTAAATGTACGTGCTGGCCAACTGGTAATCCTAGAATATGGTCTGGTGTTGGCAAACCAAATCTAAATTTTCTTGTATCATGATTAAGTATCTCTTTCTCAATTAATGGCAGGCTATATTTAACAATTGGATCAACCAGTAAAATAGGGGATTTCTTCTTCTTATCATCACTCCAACATTTATAGAATTTTCCTGCTTGTCCTATAGCAACTATAGGGACACGAATAATCGGGTGCATGAAACGACCAGGTATCACTGAACCTTGGGTTGTAAAGAGGCAAGTTTTACTTAGTGCAGTAGAAGCGGCAGAAATAATTTTACGTGTTGATGACATTTTGCGAGCAGTGCCTAAAAAACGCGTCAAGGACTACAGACCTTGTTAATTACGAAAACGCGTGTTTTTTCATTATTTTAATTTTGTTTATACCGCTTCTTGCTGATACGAATTCTCTAATCAAATGGTAGACATTTTGATTTCAATTATCATTCACTTTGTCAATAGATCAATTGCGAATTTATCTATATAAATATATCGATTCTTCGATTTCTGCAAACACATATCTTGTCATTTTATACCGCAAAAGTTTTGTATTACCGATCGAAAAAACACGTAAGGGGATTATAAAACAATGTGAACGATTTGGCATCATCATTTTTTTATAACAATACAATAGGTTTAACATCATTAAATGCTTTAACCTACACAGCATTTTTCACTAACCTTTGCACTGGTGATGTATCTTATAAAAAATGAAAAATGTTTAATCAAAAATTCTTAAAAATTGCATTTGTAGAAAATATGGAATTACAAAATCTAAAAATTACTGTCTTTAATCTGTAACACATTTTTCTTTTCCTGCGGACAACTAAATATTATTAATGACATAAAGTCTAAATAAAAAATAATTGAAATGAATTTAATTGTTCAACTAAATACTGTTATGAACATTTTCATGTGCAAAATTATACTATCGATTAGGCACATAGATGTTTTCAAGTGGTTTATATAATGATTTATAATAAAACGGAAAAATGCATTGTCCTTAAATGCTTTTAGACATATTGTACAACAAAAAAACAGCCTAATAAGCTGGATGCAGTTTACATTTCAGTGCAACGAAATAACGATATGGTGCTCTTAATAAGCAAATCGCAATTTTGGATCGTATCCAAGTTTGTCGAGGTTCGGATTACAAGCAAAATTAATCATTGGTGGTGGGCCGCACATAAGTACAAGAGTATCAGGCGATGGCGGAAACATGTGTTTTTCTATCATTTCTGCATTTATATGCCCTGTACTATAGGCCCAATTTTCACCACTGGTATCCAGTGTATACCAAACCTTGAACTTTTTTGGATAATCCCTTGCAACCTCGTCTAATTCATCTCGCAACAATATGTCTTTCTCGGTTTGATTTGCAAAAAGTAAGGAACACTCAGTTTCATCTGTGGGGTCTTTCACTATAGCGCGAACTAATTGCAGCATTGGTGTGATTCCTGTACCACCAGCTAACATTACAATCTGTAAAAAATTTTTATTTTATATCCTGAACTTTATAAGCATAAGGTATAAAGTGCGTTCACAGAGCTATGTTACCTTTTTAGCACTGTAATCTGCAGCTGGGTCCTTCCTTAGAATTTTTATGGAAAACTTTCCATGACCCTTATAGACAAGTCTACCAGATGGTCCTCTAAAATCTACTGTCTCCCCAGTTTTCAAGTTTTCTAAGAACTGTGACAGTTTTCCTCCTTCGGGGAATTTCGGATGTACATTTTTAAAGTATACCTTGAAACAAATTTCAATATTTTATGTATCAGAATTATTTGTAAACTATCAGTTACTGTTTTCCCACTTACTTTGATCACAAGATCGACAAAACCATGATCATCATCACTGGAGACTGGTGTATAAGAACGTATAACAACTTCTCCATCGATTTTTGCTGTTAAATGTATATGTTGGCCAACTGGTAATCCTAGAATATGGTCTGGTGTTGGCAACGCAAATCTAAACTTTCTTGTATCATGACTAAGTATTTCTTTCTCAATTAATGGCAGGCTATATTTAACAACTGGATCAACCAGTAAAATAGGGGATTTCTTCTTCTTATCATCACTCCAACATTTGTAGAATTTCACTGCTAGTCCTATAGCAACTATGGTTCCTATAGCAGCTAGTGCTGGCAGCACCTTAAAAAGAGCAAAAAATTGTTTTTATTTATAATGAAAGGATAATATCTAAAAACATTACAAAATAATTGAAATATAATCTAATTATCTGCAATCATATATCATTTTGAAATGTATACTTATAAAACTTATTTACTATTATAATTGTTAGCTGATGATATAATTAGCCTTTGACCTAAAATATATATCATTATCTGAAATAACTTTCTAAGCAAGTTAGCAAATCAGTAATTATTAATTTCTAAATAATATCTACATATATAAATGGCAGCTACAAAAATAGAACATAAATTTTTATTTTAAGATCGTTATGAAATGCATGTATCATATTCATATGATACATAGTTTTGTTTCAACAAGACTTCAATTTTGTTCAGAATTAAAATGGTGAAGCGTGGGTTTAAGTTGTCGAATACCATTGTATATTTCTAACATGATCTAGTTTACTTTATGTGAACGTCCAAAAAAGATAACAAAAGTGCTGCATAGTTGTAAATGATAATACATTCACCTGTGAATTCGCAAAGAGGTTACTTAACATGCCGTAAGAATTCAATTTATCGACTTTTTCAGGGTCAACAATCATTAGTATTAACAATTAATTGAAGACAGAACTTAGTGCGATTTTGGAAATAACTTTTTTTCGTAATTTTACATAACTCACCAGCATTCGTATGTTTGGCATCGTTAATTAAATAGCACGTGTCTAGGATATCCGTGAAATAATGCTGACAATGAGGCTAAGGTCGCAATCGTACGATGGAAGAGTGGGTATACGGAAAAAAGAAATACGTGTAAAGATCTAGTTAGCAACACTCCCGAATGTACACTGTTAATTCAGACAACTTGTATTAATGATTTTCGGCTGATTACCGGCTGACAAGCAATTTTTATGTGCACCTCTCGAGAAATCACCGGTTTCTACATGGGGTCAGTCAGAAGACACTACCCTTTAAAATAGATCTTACTTTCCCTGATCCGGGAACAGTTCTACTATACCAGAGTATTTATAGCTATATGTATTACCGGCAGTATTACGTATGTCCAATAAATGTATTCATGCAAAACCTGAACAATTTATAGAAAAATATGTATATTTAAAAAAGTGGAATGTTTTAACCAGGTCAACATTGACTTACGATTTCATTTCGACTGTGTCATTCATTCTCAAGCGGGCATTCAAAATAATCAGCAAAAACTACATTGATTTGACAAATATGTTTAATATCTATTTTCGAATTCGTAAATGGAAAATGCGCATTAAATAATTATTACTGAGAACGTAATTAGAACCGTAATGGCCTCAATATAGTCAAGTTATGGATTAATTTATTATACACTTGAAAATTCATATATTAAATGTAGTAATCACATCAAAATGACTTCACCCATTTTAAGTTTATCTATGTCAGTGTTATCAATGAAATGTATACTTAGACTTTCAACAGGTTAACCTATTAGAAACTAATAATAAATTAAAAGAATATATCATATAATATGCGGTTACATTAAAGAGTTACAATGATTCATATTATGTATTAATTCCTTGTAGCTGTTTAACGAAACTGTCTCATGAATTGTACTTTCAAATTGTTCAATGCATGTATTTTCATTGTAACACAATCGAAATTTCGTTTCCGGTGGTCGAAGCAATTAATCGAATACACCGAATTAGTAGCGAATTACATTCTAGTAGTTTCACATAATTTATAAGCTCACTGCTAATTGCTGTTAATTATGTAACGTTGATGAATAAATTTGTATAAATGTGTGTTTGTCCTTAGCTTTTCATTTTTTACGTACACATATAGAAATTCTATATAAAAAACAAATTACAAAAAAATTGATATATACGATATACATACATAGTGTAACAGTGATTCGTCATTATAAAATTATACGCACATGTGAGTCGTTGGATGTAGTACTGCTTGTCGGTATAGATGTAGACATGATAGTCTGTATTTACGCGGTTATTTTTACAACAATTAGGGACGTACCACTTGACAACCACTTGTTACGTCGGTCGATTCAAAAGAGTTTAATAGTATTTATTTCATGTTCAAATATAATGCTTCGAAATTTAAATAAATTAACATCGCAAAAATATCTTGAAGAACACACGGATTCGAATGTACTGCTTCTAAAGGTTTAACTTTAACTGAACGATTCTATTTGAGTATGATATTTTTCTATCGGGTGATGCAATAATTACGTGACAAGGACACGACAAGGACAAAAGATTAATCTTCCCTCCAGTTGGCTAACGAATTACAGTATATGTGCGTATATTAACATTTCAGAAAGCCCTAATCATAGTTATCTTATCTGAGATTGCGTTCAATGTGTGTACTTTCAAAATCAACAATATCAAAATTGTAAATATAGAATACGAATATAACAATGTAACGTGCGCAATCTCTTTGACATTCGAAGTAATTTATCATGGTAAAATTAGTAAGGAATTTCAATTCTTAAGCAAAAATCTGAAAATATTAACATTTCCTGCATAATCTGCATAATATTGGAATAAATTAAAATATCTTTTGTAACATTATAATCGAATACATTACCTCTTAAATTTTGAAAAATCTGAACATTTTGTAAAGAGATTTGGAAATGTATGTACAAAATAAAAAACATAACGAAAGAAAAACTAGCATAAATTCTACAATTTATGCTCGTTATAATATGTATAAAAACATAAATTGTATTTGATAATTCTTCATGTAACGTTTATTGTACATACATACGTTTATATATGTATTACATACAATTGTACTTACATAACATAGATTCTTTAACGTCACGTTTAGTGATCTGTCTGCTGTCACATTCTGTACAATGTTTTCTATCTTTAACTTAGAAGGAAGCGCTGTTTGAACAGTGAGTCATCAACCAATCAGAATAAAGAGAATTTCTTCTAGCCTCCTCAATATCACAATGTATGTCTTGAATTGCACGATGTTAAAGAGGGAAATATTCTCTTCAACACTAGCGACACCTTTAGATTGACAGTCCATGTTGTCAATGTACATATGTACATTATGTCTTTTACTTAGGCAGGGCGACGATGTAGAGGTTAGGTATACAAAGTGTTGATGTAAACAGATCGGCAAGTTTGCAATATGATTATATAGTTCTGCGATCACGTTTTGCCTCATAACTTTTAATGCATTTAATTTTACACTCCAATGGCAGTTGTGCACCGTGTATTATTTACATGGTTCTATCTTCTAGTCTTTCTGGCCCTACTTAATATGAAACTTGAACAGAAAATACAATGGAACTGGTTCATAGTTTTTATCCCAATGTGGTTTTATGATCTCGTTCTTCTTGGTAACGGAGTTTTCTTTATAATTTCCCATTGCAAGAATGGACGTGTTCGTGATGTATACCGCGAAGTAAGTTACATGTCAAGAAATAAATTTGCAAGAAAAATATGCACTATTTAGTTAACACATTTATTCAGTTTCATCAAGAAGTATTTTACTGTCAAATATCTACTATTATTTGTTGGACCTTCAATTTTCTCTTTAACCATTTATTTATATAATTAATATCTCTTGAAGAAAGTAGTGCAACTTTCCCCTTATTGCAGCACATGAACTTATAAGTGAAGCAATACATTTCATACAAATCATTTTGATGAAACTGGATGTTGGTTACATTTTATGATAGTTGAATATAGTTTCCTTTTAGGTATGGTATACAGCAGCTGTGTTTTTGAAATTAAGCGTTGAGATTTTGATATGTGTGAAATTGGAAGTATCTCAGTGGTTCCTACCGGCGAAAGTTGTCTTGGCACCATTCTGGATTCTGCTTTCAGCATTGGCAGTTTATGTGTTCGTACAGCTGATAAAGTTACATCGTTTTTGATGAAGGCCTGATCCTGATTGATTCAGTCAATGAACAATTGCAGATTTATCTTACTCCGGTTAAACTTAATTTTATATTGCCATTAATTGTGTAAGTCGTGTTCATAATACTACATATCTGATACAGCTGATTTATAACATTTATGTCTTTGATAAATAAATTAACTATTTTGGTCATAAGAAAAGCATTAAAGACTGCTTGATTGTTTACTTACAGAAATATAATTGACAAAAAACAATAATACATTGTTATGCCTTTTATATTGAGCATGTATATTATATAATGACAAAAGGATTGAATGTATACAAATATTGCCTTGATATTGGGTTTTACCTTACATATCAGTATTCAATTGAATCAAACGAAGGAGTATATAGCATACTTTCAGATGGTATGGTAGTCACAAGATGCTAGTCTGGCTTACTATAAATACATTATTGCACAAGGATGAATAGGTCGAAGATATAAATAAGTACTGTGCGACAGTTTCATTATCAAAGCTATTCTCACTAGTTCCTAAGACTGTCATTCACAAACAGTGCTTTCTATGCTTAACATTAACTTCTAACAAGTGCATTTAGGTATTGTAGTATAAAAACTGTGAGAGGTCGTACAGAGTTATATCCTTAGTTATGCAATATGGTTCATTGACAAGAGACTGCTGTCTGCATTCTCTATAGAGTAATTGTTCTGAAACCATCTGTCACATTTACAACAGGTCCTATGATACTGAATTTTTTATTTTAAAGGTGATCACTGCAATTAGACTATAATTGTTTTACAATAGAACAAGATGAGCTAACAGCGTAAGACACTTTGCCAGTAACATTAATGGTAGAACAAATTCAGTCGAGTCATCATCATAAAGTGCTTATGTTTTTAACAGGATATTAAGTTCCTTTAACTCAATATTTGTGTGAAAATTAAAATATTGAAAGCATAAAGTGTGTGAATAGTGATATAGTTGTACATGTTGGATTTAGAAGTGTATTTATAAAATAAAGAATTAGAAAACACGGGTTATTAAATATATATTGTAAAATAAAGTCGAAATCAATGTTTATTAACGTTTATGAAAATTAAAAATTCTTGGTTGATATTTATATTATTGACTTGTATGATCTCATTTTTCAGATGAACGTAATATTTTCCTCATTAATATTTGTATCATTATTATTACTAAAACATGGAGTTGCTGCCGGCGAGATTACGGTAACGGAAGTTCCAGCCGGTCATTTAGCTGAACTTCCGTGTTTAAGCAGCGATGATCACCATCGTTTTATGTTTTGGCAACTTACGGATGACAAGCGCATTATCGGGCCTGGAAACTTCATGGACGAAAATAAGTACAATTACGAGGTGCTAACTGGAAAGCTTTACATCAGAGTAAGTACCAACAAGTAAACATACTTTACTTTAAAAATAATATTTAATTAACCATTTCTTGGTAGGGTGTATCAACTGCTGAATCAGGTTTTTACAAATGCGTATCAAAAGGCATAGCTGATCATTCTTCCATCAATATTCACGTTGTTGAGTTAATTGTTAAGAAAGATTGGGAAGATGTGTGGGAGAACGATTTCGAGGTATATTGAAGTATTTTAGAACCGACAAAAGCTAATATATAATGTATAGCCATTATTTTAAACAACTTCTTTTTGTAGACAAACTTGTTACGTGGAATGGCTGCTGTTATGGTAGTAGTTGTTGTCATAGCAGTTGTCCTCTTTATCATCACGGCGAAAAGAAAACAAAATCGAAGATTTTTCGGTATATTTGATGAATATTTAACGGGGATGACCAGTGAATTTATTCAGGATTAAAATTATTGTCTTTATTGTTATAGATTTAGAAGAATCAAGAGAAAATTCCCCTGTAAAGTATACACCAAATACCAGCGGTCGTCCTAATGTGCCAACGCCAATAGCCGAAGAAAGTGGCATTGATAATTCAGCTCTTGATATCGACTTCCCGAGAGTGTTTAAACAAATGCAGAAATAAACAACAATTTCGTGATGCAGTATTCCCTTAAACCGAGAGCCATTGAGTGCTAACAAGGGAATACTGTGCATTGTACAAATTAACTTTTTTATAGTAGTTTATAATGAATGCATCGAATTTTTCATTGCGCTACCGCAAAGTGAAAGACGCGAATCTGTTAAGGACATAAGTCTAATTATACTATCTTCTAGATTAAAGTTACTGTATATTGTTGTATATTATACACATAAATAATTAAATTGTTTACGCAAATGTTGTACTTTATCAGATTATTATTTTAACAAGTATAAGAAAATAAATTGATCTTATTCGAACGTAGGAGACATACCACTACTGCTTCTGCGTCAGTTCATTGAGAAGTACTGCTGCTTCACGTGCAGTATTTACCATACTGTCGTTAGCTGCATCTTCTTCGTCTTCTTCATCTTCCTCTTCCTCCGGTTCTACCTCAGTCTCTAATAATCTTATTTTTCTATTGTTCTCACTTAAAACGGCAGCTACCTTTCGAGCACCGCTAATAGCTAGTCGTCTAACAGAAATACCTTGAAGCGGACGCGGCCAATTATTGCTTATGAGATCAGATAGGGTAACAGGATTTTTATCTTGGTTATTGAAAATTCGAGGATGGTTGAGTGGTAATTGCACAAGAAATGACGCCTGACTATGTTTGTTAAGGATTAACAGACTGAGATACTCCTGCGTATAGAACTGCAGATCCACCACATTACCGTCTATATAGGTTTTAGATTGCGGCTCTAAAAAAAAATTATGCTTAGTTATATACGTAAATCTTTATGTATACGTTCAGAATGCATCAACGTACCCGATCTATTATCCACGTCTATCGTACCCATTCTAAAGTTGAGCGAAACAGATGAAGTCTCTGTAGATGAAGACTCAACTTTGAACAATCGTAATATTTTGTGATCAATGTCACAAGTTGCCACTAACAAGCCATCATTGTTTGTTACAATTTGGGAAGATGTGAATGCTATAGACGGAGCCAATGAAATACTTGAGACAGTAAAATGCTCCACCAAACCTTGATAAGCCTCTCCGAAGACATTATGTATAGCGGTAATTAATTTTGCATGAGATTGTAGTAATGAAAAATTCAGATCTTGCTTCACGATAAGCGGATGGTCACGAAGGCAATGATTTTCATCGAGCATAGATGCCCATTCGCTTCCCTCAGGAGTTAAACATGTCTGTAAATTTTCGCGTCGTAGATATTGGCCTAATTTTTCTAAATTCACACCTTTTCTACCTCCAACACCTGGCTCAGTCTTATCAAAGCCACGCAAAAATTCGGCTATGAATGTCAATTCTTGTTGACTAACTCGACTTACTTCGGGTGGTATTCTTTCGTCCGTTAGCCTTAAAATTACCACGTACAACCATCTAAAATTATAATACTTTAGTGTTAGAGACATTACCAGTAGTACTTTACTTTTACAATCTACCTAAAGAATGCTTTATAGTCCCTCATACTGTGATCTATTACTTGTTGTATTTCTGACGATTTTGCTAGAAAAGCTTCTGAAGCGTGCAGAGCATTTGTTATCACATTTTCATCTGTTAATCCCAATAGTTCATAGGACCCACCTAGTCTCACCATACCTTTCATTTCAGCCAACTGATATACCAACGCCATTCCAACACTTGTTAAGTTCTTTAAGACTAATTTCTGTAACATAATTCATTCTTTATTGTGATTTTCAACCAACGAATTTTATATTTTGTACCTGTATATTACTATAGCACATTTCAATGCTATGTCCTAGATTTTTCAAGCCTTTTTCAGTGAGATCTCGCAGTAGAAAATTTTCCAGATTTGGCGTTGGTATGCCGATCATTAAAAGTTCTAAGAAATCTGCAGCAACTCCGCCAGGTGGATTTGTTTCAGCGTATCGTGCTAGTTTTTCATCCATTTCTAAGAGAATTGTCTCCCATGCTTCAGAGATGGCCATTAATGTTCGCGAAAGGTAATCCATCAGATATTCTATGTTAGCTTGAGCTTGTGCTACCTCACATTGAAATAAAAAGTTTGTAAAGGCTTTGTTACTTTTTATAATACAAAAGCAATCAATATTGTTCAAAGAACCTTTAAGAATGCTATGTTCTGTTCCAGCAATGGACACTTTAATCTGTTGACTTTAATGCCACTGCTGTCTTTCCATGTAATCCACATCGGCTTATCAGATCCACCACTGATTTCCAATATCGGACCATGACCTATTAGAATTGTGCCACAGTAGAACATTCCAAATACATACATTGTAACATTTCCATCATCCAGACCAAGCTGTAAAACATAGTGAACTATAGTAGTCATTTTTCCAATGTTTTCTAAATAGGTAATGTAGTTTCAAATAAACTTACAAAAAGTATATCTAAGGGTTGGAATAAGAATTCTTTGCGCTCAGGTTCTTGACCAAAGCTTCTATTTAAACTTGGTAAGGGTGGAAGATATTCTCCAGCTGGTAGCATACTTGCTTTGCTTCCACTTGATAAAGTATCATTTATCAGATTTGTTAGAGGTAACCATGTCATGCATGTGATCTCATTGTGAAAATTCAATTTGGTTTTATTTATAATATTTTTATTTTCTATGTCTACAAGACACACAACTTTAGAGTTCTCATAGGAAACAGCCAAAAGTTTTCCATCTGGTCTCCATGCTAAATTTACTATAGTATCGGTTTCTTCATGAGGACTTAATAGCCATGCCCTTTGCCAAGTCAGTCTATAAAGAGTAACTTCTCCTATAAGAATCACATTAAAAAATTAAATGACATGATACATAAATATATATAAGATTTAAAGGTGTTTGTAAGAATACTATTTGATATTTTAAATAATTTGTACACTAGTAAAAAAATAGTTGATATCGAACATGTGATGTGAATTCATCATTTGTTGATTATAGAAGTTATTTAAAAAGCTAACCTTTCATATTTGCAATTGCTAGAAGATCCATTTTTGGTGACCATTGCATTTTTGTTACTTCAGCTGAAAGTTGTCGCTCTTCTAATTGTCTCATACTTCCTGCCATTTTTACTACCTTTATCCAATTGCAAAACAGAAAAATGTCTTACATATTTCACAGGTAAAGATGACAATTTCAAGGTTATGTTTTCCTGTAACGTCCTGTCCTGCTTCTTGTATGTACATATATAAATGCATGTACAATGTATGTACATAGATTCATACTATACATTACACCACGCGCTACACATGGAAATATATGTATGCGATGTGCTAGATATGTACATATTATGTACATAGGTACTTTGAAATTGTGAAGAAGATATTTTCAAATAAATCAAGTTATGAACTTTTTTAACACTCAATATATTCTTTTTTTGCTTTTCATAATTATGACATAAAATACTTTTTGTCGAATTAATGGTGTTTTGAACCGGAAATGTTTATACAGCATGCAGAAGGAATGCACTGTTCAAATAAATTGTTCAACAGGAGCCAAAAGCAACTGTGCGAATTACGAAGGTGGAAATTTCAAATTAAAAATAGACGCTGCTGTTATTGTTTAAATAAAACAGAATACAATTTTGTAATCCAATAGTATATAAATGTACGTTTTCCCACGTTCTTTTCTGTTTTAACTTCTTTTATAGAGTATGTTCAGATATTATTATATGCTTTTCACATAAACGGTATTTTTATTATAAATAAATAGATCAATATTTACATAGACATTTTATATTTTGTTATACTCTCGCTTTGTGTAAGGATGTTTTGCTCAGGTTTTGCTGAAATCATGAAGAAATACCAGAACCGAGTATAAAATTCGAGCAAGTCTGCAAGAATCGCGAATTCCTGGCGCGTCTACGGGCAAGAAAAATAAAAACTTCCGGTTTCAGATATTTTAAAAGCACTTTCTACAAACGTTTTCAGGGATCTCGAACTCGAATTTTTCAAGTATTATCTTTCGTCTCATTATCATCATTTTTAGAAGACCATTGATTCAGTAAGAGAAGAAATGGTTCCTTTCGTTCTTTGCATCTAACAGTTCCTTCGAAATTTTCGTTGTTCGTAGATAAATACTATACAAAAATGTTGCCCTTAAAAACCAGGATGACGGTCAATTGTGGTATCAACATATTATAAGTAAATACTCCAACAATTCCTTCCACGATTTTCGATTTTGAATAAATACTTCCCGGCAAAAGTAGTACGTACTTTCAAACAAGGTACGTAACTGTTCCAAAAGGAGTGCTCTATCCGAAGATCGATCGATTACTTTCTATCTCGTCCAAGTAACTTCATCTACTACCGTCAACAATATCCGACCATCGTCTCGCTATACAAAACAATACTGGGTCACAGATCTGAAAAATTCGACGATGACGATCTTTAGAGGCCGGGTCCCGTTGACCTCGGGCACCGTTCCCCGAGAGTGAACGGTTCTCCTAGAGCCTAGGACCTAGACGAAGGTGTTCTAGAGTAGCCATCATCTCGCGAGGGCCGCGGTGAGTGTTAAAACTGGTTCACCCTAAAACCTGAATAGTCGCCGACGCCTCGGTAGTCCACGTGGTTCTCAACCGGGTGAGGTGGCCTCGTGGCGACGCTCGGCGTCCTCCAGGCGGCCGGCTCTGCGGCGGCGAGGTCGAAGGGAGTCTATTGTCGATCCATAGTCGATATCGAGGCCGCTTGGAGAACCCGGAGAGAGTGAGAGAGAGAGAGAGAGAGAGAGAGAGAGAGAGCAAGAGAGAGACAGCAGACAGGCGCTAGGAGCACGAAGCCGATCGAAGGTTGGTCGGTCGGTACTCGAGCCGACGACGAGGCGAGGAGCAAGGCGGGTTCTTGAGGAACGCCACTGGCCACGTGACCCGCCAGCAGAATCCGCGGCGTCCGCCGAAAATCTAAATCCGTCCGAGCCGAGAAGAAGAGGCACCCGAACGTCGGCCACCGGGTCTCGCCGCCCGAGAGACCGCGTACGCGATAGTCAATAATTGCCTTTAGGGTCTATCGGATCGGTCGGTGATCGCCGCGGACGCACCGAAACCGAGACCGAGACCGAGCGCGAGCGTGATCGTGATCGTGATCGCGATCCGCGTGCAACCACCTTTTCCGACACCTTGGTGAATCCGACAACCTGATCTCCGGCTGCCCAGGGTGCCAGAAGGATGATACGCGTCGACGAGACTGATCCGGTTGGCGGTAAGGGACAGACACTATCTGTGCACATCATGATCGATATACAACGATCGATACAACTTGTGATATCGTTACATTGGAGGTCGTCGAAGGGAACGGGTGGTTCGACGATTCTAGGCTGCTGTGTTTCTTGGAGCTATCAGCTATCAGTATATTTGGCTGGCGAAGGGGGTCAAGAGAAGATCCCTTAGATCTTGGTTTCCTGTGCGACGTGATACCGTGGATCATGAACCGATGCAGGAAGGATGCAGTTAGGGGACATTTTTATAGAACTGTGTTCCTTCTTTTCCGATTCGCATCGGTGTTTCGTGGAGCAGTTGTCTGTTAGCATTTTAGGCTGGTGCGCGCGAAAGGGGTCAAGAGGAGAGAGCTGCCACCATCGTTGTCCTTTTCTTAGATCCCAGTTTGCTGCGCGCTGTGGTATCGTAGATCATGAATCGATGCGGGAGAACAGCCACGTTCTTCTTTCGGGGCCTCGAAATTGCTGTTCCGTAAACTGTTTCTTCCGTTGCGTACTTGCAATAATAGATTCTTTTTGTCGCACGATTCGATGTATCGCGGATCATGAATTTGATCGAAGGACGTCTTTCGGTAACTCTGTTCCGTCGAGCCGTCTATTCTGCACACATCTAGTTGATACATTCGAAAGGGGTCAAGGGAAGTTCGCTCTTTCTTAGATCCCTGTCCGCTGCTCTTTTCGGCACACCCTAGATCACGAATTCCTAAAACCATTTCTACGACAAATTCTAGGATAATTTCTAGCGTAATCGTGGTCGACGGATGTTTCTTACAACCATGCATCTTCTTCATCGACTCAAAACTTTGTTTCACGAAGCGAACATGTCTTCTGTGCACATGGCTGGCTGATACAAAAAAGGGGTCAAGAGAAGTCTTCTATCGTTTTTCTTCGGTCTTATCTCCACTGTGTGTTTATGTACCTCGTGACACAGGCCGTGCTAGATAGGAAACCTGCGATCTCAACTACTCTTTTCTTGATTCCGTCTGTTGCAACGGATTGACGTAAAACACGCGTCGAGATTTTTTCTGCTGTACTATGCTGCGCGTATCCTACGTAACGAGTCGTTAGACAAACCTTGATCGAAGCGACAACACCGGTTTCACCGGGGCCCAAGCTTCCGAGGGTCCCGACGATTTCATTCTCGGCGCGGTAAGAGTGCAGAGGCTCGATCGTGGTTTTTCTTTAAATAAATTCGCTGCAGGGTGATTCACTGGAATTCGGGCCGATGAAGGGAACGTTCAACCGAACGGTGTTCGAAGACTCGCGTTCGTTGTTTCGGCTGGAGGTCGCCGTTCCGCCAGCTGTCCCGTACAAAAGGGTGAAATGAGGTCGCGGTCGCTGCGAAAACATGCGCTCATCGTCGCACCATGAAACGCGAGAAGCTTCCGCTTTTTCGACGCCGTTTTAGCGCGATATCGCTGTCGAACGATTGCCCTAGAAATCCACGGACTCGTCGCCGTCATCGTTATCATTCACAATCCAGAAATCGAACCTTTTGCAGTATCGCGATGTAGAGGGTGGACGAGCTTCGACACCGAAAAGCGTGCAACGTTTAAGTAATCTTGGTCGCATCGTTCGGTCCTGATTCGAGTTCAATGCACCGTATACAACTGCGCTAATTATTACCGAAGAATTTGCTGACCAATTTCAGTCTCATGCAACGTCCACGAATTCTCTAATGCTTTCTAAATACGTTCGCGAAATTTCATTGTTCGAGTTTCGATCGTTCGACGGTGTTTAAAAAGCTGCAGAGAACCTGTCAATTTCTGACTTTCGAATATTGTTGGGACACCTCGTAATTGTAAGCGGAAAGAAAACAACCGGCAACAATAACCTTTTTCCACGGTTTCTTCAGCTGTCCCGTGTCGAAACTAGAAAATACAAAAATCGCTAAATATACACGGGCGAGACACATTCCGTGCCTCTGTCCATGTTTAGCTTCTTAACGTCGGAAATGTTCAGTTGGCGTGGTTCCCTCGTCGAAGCCGGGATCACCGAAAAATAGACGATTAAATAAGGTGTTTGATTACGCGCGCGCTGCATACCGCGCCGCGGCCGCGGCGTTGTCGCGCAAAATACCGTCAAGTAGCCCGACGGTTTCGTGTCGACGTCGCACGTCACCGGAAATTACCGTCTGTAAAGGGAAACGAGTCGAGTTTCAGCGCAATCAGCTTTCCATTCCCATCGACTGGGCTTCCTCGTCAAGTGCCACGCTTTCGACCCGGTTCGTTTAATGGGCCGTCCGAATTCTTTTCGGGAGGCTTTCACGGCCGCCGACGTATTTTTACGTTCGGGGGTGGTTCGAATCGAATCCGGAACGCGACGAGAGTCCCTTTAAAAAAGCTACAGTTTATGTTCGATTTTTTCTGAAAGAGGAAAAGATCCTGATTTTGCCCAAATATCTGATTTCGACTAATTATGGTATTTCCGGGAAATGTGGTGTTCCCGAGATCATTCGAAGTAACCTTCTCCTTTACAAAAATGTTCTCCGAGGTACCGTTAACGAGTTATTAACGAAAAACACTGACCAATGAGGGACGAGCTCGGCTAGCGCGAGGCGACCGAGCCAACGAGCGCACGAAGCCCAATTCCATTCCTTGGCTCGCCCGCCACGCGCCAGCTGATCTCGCCTCTCATTGGTCACTGTTTTTCGTTAATAAATCGTAAACGAAGCCGCGGATTGCATTTTCGCTAAGGAAAAAGTTACTTCAAATGACCTCATGAACCCCTCAGTTCCCAGAAATACAATAATTTTAGGACACCCTGTATTGTCGTTCGTCTCTTATGTATCAGTTTCATATATTTTCCATTGATTCTAGATCAATCTGCGTATCGTTTAATTAGTTGCTCGCAGATCTTATGCGTTTACGAGAAAAATCATGGAGAAGTTTCATTGTACGTAATGCTCCGCGGTCTAATTGTTTAAAACATATTTACCAGCGTAGATTATTCTTTCATTTCGGTACACGATTTTCAGGAAAATGATAGTGCACAGTGTCAGATGATTTTTCCGTACTGATGTTCCACGATTAAACGAAGACTGAGCAAATGAATCGCACGATTTCGTTTTCCAGAGATCGAGCCGAGCTTCCCTTATCGAGACGTGACTATTCGGCGAGGCATCGATTTCAAGGATCTCTATAACATCCAGTCCGAGATTGGGAGGTGAGTGTTTCATGTCTCTGCAAAGAATGTCATCGATTGTTTATCGTTGATTCGACAACGTTCGCGAGATGGTGTCGCGAGACCGGCTTACGTACGTGCGACGCAAGCCCCGGCGATAATTGTTTATGCACGAACCGGCTCGATTATTGCAAATATCGCGGCGTGCCGCAGGGCTGGCCACGCTGTTTCTGAATTTGACACGATATGCTCGCTAGCGTTGCGCAATGATTATACGAGCTGCTACGATATACTCCGATACGCAGCTTAGAGAGCCAGGCGTAACAATCATAACAACGACGATGATCACGTTCCCGATGCACGCGTTCGGATGATAACAGTGACGAAATTTATAAATTATGAAAAATTTATATATTATTATTTATATATTATTCGGATGAAAGGTGCCGGAATACAGTAATGTCTCTCTAATTGACAATGGACAATTGAGGAAAAAATGGACAATTGGGGAAAAGGAGATACGATTATTCGAGGCTTGTGGTTCGTTTTTATAGTCACGAACTGTCAAGAACTATAGAAACGAGCCGCAAGGCTCGAATAATCGCGTCTCCTCTTCCCAAGTTCTCCATTTTTGTGCACAATCTGAGCTTCAGTTAGGGAGACATTACTGTGCATATAACGTCTCCCTAATTGACGCTCAGATTGTCCACGGAAGTGGACAATTTGGGAAGAAGAGATACGATTATTCGAGCCTTGCGGTTTATTTTTACAGTTACGAATTGTCAACAATTATAAAAACGAGCCGCAAGGCTCTCCTCTTCCCAAATTGTCCATTTTCGTGCACAATCTGAGCGTCGGTTAGGGAGACATTATCGTAAATGTTACAGGGAACGGTGACAAATTGAGCATCGAAGACGAAAGTAAAATGGAAAGAAAGAAACTAGGCAATAGTGTGTCAGCGATAATTAACATTTGGAAAGTGATCCGTCGAAGAACGACAAGATCGAACGAGTAAAGGCGCCACGTTCGATCGGCCACTTTCGATTAATGTCTCGGAGGGAGACGATCATGTTTTCGAGCGTCGAGAACGCGGATCGTAGATCTTTTGGGTCGACAAAGGGGAAGGGAAAGTTTTGGAACCTTGACGTGTTTATACCTTCCGGCGAACGTAGTATTCTCGTCTTGTTTACATCGTAGTCTTTCGGTTACTATGCGCGTGGCAGCCATTGTGAATGAGCCCCGGTCTTGAATGATCTCGGACGAGGCTGCTGCTCGCGGCGAATCTATAAAACGAGCTCGTACAAACATTTGTTTGAAATGTTTCTTCATGCAACAAATAGTTGACTCGTAACTCAACCGTTACGCTCTGCATAGGCGTTCGATCCAACCGACGCGTCTGACCATGACCTATCGATTCTACTTATGGTAAATTCACCCTAATCGACGCTCGGCGTCGCTCACCCTCGCGGCTCGTTTTTATAGTTACCGATTGTCAAGAACTATGGAAACGAAATTTAGACAATTTAGAAAAATTGTCCATTCTTGTACACAATCTGAGCGTCGATTAGGGAGAATTTACTGTATTCGGACTGATTTTTCTCGAAAAAACGACCAAATCGTAATGGTCTTCTTTTACGCGTTTCTGCGCGTAGATAATTTCTTTCGCTTGGATAATTTCGTAGACAGCCTGCACACCGAGGTTCCACGAAACAGCTAGCGTAAGGAAGTCGTTTGCGAGATACGATCGCGGATTGTTGCGACGCGTTGGATTTTTATTTTTAATTGGTAGGGAATGCCGACGCACAATAGCAATCGTGCGTCAGGCGCCCGAACAAAGGTATTGGCGGATGGACCGATGCCAAAGGTAAGATCCGAATGCCAATGACAAACTATTAGTGAACCGATCAATTCTCAATGGATGCCCTTGATCGACAGGAACGATTGTCGCACGGTTCGATCTAGGAATGACATCTTAGGAATGACATCTGTAGGTGAGAATCTAATTTCGTGGTGCCGTTCCAGGATTAAATCTCGGGATATCTGCTGAATCATGGTGTAAACGATCCGATGGCAGAGTAACATATAATAGTATTATAATATATAATAATAATAATATATAACAATAATATATAATAATAATATATAATAATAATAATATATAACAATAATATATAATAATAATAATATATAACAATAATATATTATAATAATAATAATAATAATAATATAAAACAATAATATATAATAATAATAATATAATATAATAATAATATGTAATAGTATTCGATCAGGTGAAGAATAAAATAGAAAATGATTCCGAGCGAACTCTAAGCAACGAAGGATTGTTTGCCTGTACAAATGAACTAGCGCTGGCATTATTCGAATAACTTGTTCGACTAATGCGTAAGATTTGCTGTGAATCACGAATGATGCACCGGACGGCGAACCCGTCAGAAAATTATTAGGGTGAAAGTGCGAGGAAACGCGGCGAAGGATGCTCGTTTGCATAACTGCGGAAGGTCGTCCAGCCAACAAAAAAGCAAGGTTTACCAACTTCTAAGATCTAAAAGTGATGAAACTATGCGCGCAAGAGTACGGTAAGTTATACCTAAACGGTACAACTTGTTTTCTTCAAAATATCATCTGTTGCACTTGAGATACGTCGCGAATAAAAAGATATCGACGCTTTTCCGAGGGCCGATTTCACCCCTTTCAATCGAATACAAAATAGCGTTGAATTGGATTTGAATTGAGTTTTATAAATTTTGGATTTCATGGGTTGGCAAACCTTTCTTGTAAGCAGGATAATACCGCGAACCGATGCCAATAGTAAACCCAACACGGACCACGCATCCGGCTACTTCAGAATGAAAATTCCGCTCGGGTTAAGAATTCGCGGAGCCAACGGTTCATTCATCTTCGAAGGATCGACGGAAATGCCTCCAGTCGTGAATCATCGCGAATCCACGTACAACGGGTCCGAACAGTTCCATTTTCAAACGCCCACGTTGGCTCCTGAATCACTCGTCGGTCCCCCGATGTGTCAACAGGTTCCGCGTTTCCATTGAATCGTTAAATCATGTATTCCAATTAAACCGCTGCGGTGCCTCCGCCAATCCTTTTCTTTGGCCGATCTCCATCGGCCGCGAATTCCGCGTTAATCACGCGTAGGACAAAATGCGATTCGTGAACTAAACGCGACCGATACGTATTGCATTTAATAATTGGGAGATTGATCTAAATTAGGTTCTCTGTACGATTTTTATTCGTGAGCATTTCTAGGTCGAGACATGGATTCGATCGTTTCCTAGGAAAGCGTCACTGTAATTTTAGTAATTAGTAGATCGCGGATCTTTATGCGAAAACTAAACGTCTTCTTAAGCAATTGTAAGAAAGAGAAGTTAAATAAAGACGTAGTAAATTTTCCCTAATTGTCCAGCAGCGTGTAAACGAAAATGGACAATTTGAGAAGAGGAGATACGATTATTCGAGCCTTGCGCCTTGTTTTTACAGGGTTCTTTTTCGAGCCGCGAGTCTTGAATAATCGTATCTCCTCATCCCAAATTGTCTATTTTTGTTTACAAGTTAGAGGACAATTGGGGAGAATTTACTGTATTTCTTCTTTTAATAATTCCACTAAATTAAGATGAACCTAAGAACATAGCTAGTAATGCTAGTTTGCTAATATTACTATAATATTAATTTGCTAATATTAAGTAATGCTAATTTTCTAATATTACTATAATATTAATTTGCTAATATTAAGTAATGCTAATTTTCTAATATTACTATAATATTAATTTGCTAATATTAAGTAATGCTAGTTTGCTAATATTACTATAACATTAATTTGCTAATATCAAGTAATGCTAGTTTGCTAATATTACTATAACATTAATTTGCTAATATCAAGTAATACTAGTTTGCTAATATTACTATAACATTAATTTGCTAATATCAAGTAATACTAGTTTGCTAATATTACTATAACATTAATTTGCTAATATCAAGTAATACTAGTTTGCTAATATTACTATAATATTAATTTTCTAATATTAAGTAATGCTAATTTGCTAATATTACTATAATATTAATTTGCTAATACAAAGTAATGCTAATTTGCTAATATTACTATAATATTAATTTGCTCATATCAAGTAATGCTAGTTTGCTAATATTACTATAACATTAATTTGCTAATATTAAGTAATGCTGGTTAGCTAATATTACCATAAATGCATATAATCCGCAATTCAGTGATTACAAACAGATTGCGGTTTTTCCGTCCCTGGCAAAAATGAATATATAAATCAGAGGGCTGTAAAATGTACAGTAAATTATTTGGACGACAGAATACTATATATATGCATTTATTTCGCAGCTTGTTACTTATTATTTTATGACCGCAACGGTATTCACAAGCTTAGAGGATGCAAGAAAACGACACCTCTGGCAAAGATAAATGATTGGACACAGGAAGCTGTGTGGACACATAGAAGAAGCGTATTTTTGTCTAACACATTTCCTCATCGTTATCGATCCGGGAAATTTTGATTTTGCCCGAAGGTCAAGCGTAATAATTATAACACAACAAAAATCGGTCGTTCCATCGTGACGGGCCTAGCGTGTCGAGAATATTTTCCGAACATTTTCTATTCGCATGCGAAATCGTTGTTGCACGTTCTCCGTGATACGCGCGCATAATTGAATCGATCAATCGATTGGTAACGCGTGCAGATGCTCCGTTTCGATAATTCGTTCCGGCGACCCTGTTGCCCATGGTATGCTCTACTAACTCACTGACTCACCGACTTGGCAGGGTGACAGCCGCGATACAGGTTTCACCACCGCGTTCTAGCGAGCCAACGAGGCAGCTTGGCACTTCCTCCAGCTTTTGTCGCAGTTCGCGGCCATTTTTTTCTTGTCCATGAAAATTCCTTTCGTCAAGGTTGGGGACCGGCGTCGCGGCGCAGAACACGCGAAATTGATTCGCTCGAGACGATACCGTACACGTGGTGGAAGAAACGAAATCGAATCGATGACGCTCGATGATCGCCGCGAAACCCCGGCGTTTCGACGCCGCGACATTTACAGCGGAATTCGAACACCGAAAAGATTTCGCTTCGGTATTTTCTTCGCTGCGCGCGTTCCTTGGCACATAGGAACCGCGTCGGAGTTTCTGCAGCTGTGCTCGCAGATTTGATCATGTTAATCTTAGATAGAGCTCGTATTGTTGCAATACGCGAATACGCAATAATCGAATACCGCGCGAAAAGCTCGCGAGTTTTCATCTCGCTTTTTCTATTAATTCTTGTTTCTAGAAAGTAAAGGTTTCCTTTTTAACCCCATCGTGCTTACGAGTGGGTTGCAAAATGTCCGCAGAATTTTAAATACGCACATCTGTTCTAACAATGTTCTTTTATACATTTTTCATATTTTATTTGTGCAGGTACCTAAAAATGCGTTTAGCACTTTTTCTTACTCGGATACGAAATAACCCTCCCTTATGAACAGACCTTAAACCTTCTAATATCTTAAGCGAGACCGAAGATTAACAATCTCTCTCGGTTTTTAAATTATTCCTTTGTACGCCAGAATAAATAGGATACTATAATAGAATATCCAAAAATGTCTCGCAATCCAGAAATGGGAGGTTCCTGAGGTCATTCGAAGTAACTTTTTCCTCAGCGAAAATGCAATCCGCGGCTTTGTTTACGAGTTATTGACGAAAAACATTGACCAATGGGAGGCGAGATATGTTGGCGCAAGGCGACCGAGCGGGCGAAGCCTAGTTCCGTTTATTGGCTCGGGCGCCACGCGCCAGCTGATCTCGCCTCTCATTGGTCACTGTTTTTCGTTCATAACTTGTAAACAAAGCAGCGGATTGCATTTTCGTTAAGGAAAAAGTTACTTCAAATGACCTCAGGAATCACCCATTTTCACGTGTTAACGTATTTATGGGGAACCCTGTATTCGGAATGAGAAAAACAGTGACCAATGAGAGACGAGATCAGCTGGTGCAAGCGGAACTGGGCTTCGTGCGTTCGTTGGCTGGGTCGCCTCGCGCCAGCCGAGCTCGCCTCTCATTGGTCACTGTTTTTCGTTAATAACTCGCGAATAAAGCCGCGGATTGCATTTTCGCCAAGGAGAAAGTTGCTCCGAATGACCTGAGGAACCTCCAATTTCCGTATTGCGAGACATTTTCGGGACACCCTGTACAGCGACCGTTCGATAAGCACACTGTTTGGGGCTTCAGTTTGCTTAATACCAGCTTGTTCCAGAAAACGGTTGCTTATCGAGCGATTAATCCGTTTGCTTCCACTTTGGAGCCATCTACGAAGGCAGTGGGGTCACGTTGGGGTCGCTTCTACCACGGCTACTTATCCAGCTACCGCAGTAAATCGCTGCGTTACCGATAAGTAGCCGCGGAATCGAATCGGACCGAGACAATTTCGTTGAGACGGGATCGTTACCTGTTTTCCAGAGGCAAATTTGGCACCGTTTATCGATGCAAGGAGAAAGCAGGCGGGCTGATGCTCGCCGTGAAGGTGGTGAACACCGCGAAGAAAGAGGACAGGCGGTCAGTCGAGCGGGAAGTTGAGATTATGAGGCGGCTGCAACACCCTAGACTCATCCAGCTGTACGACGCCATCGACACCGGGAAACAGATATACGTTATTTTGGAACTGTAAGCTCTTAACGATCGGCGCGGCTCTGTCCCCTAGATCCCCTGGATCACCATGCATTTTCATGTTTCAAGGATCGCAGGCGGCGAGCTCTTCGAGAGGGTGATCGACGAGGATTTCGTGCTGACCGAGCGCAGTTGCGCTGTTTTCATGCGACAGATATGCGAGGGCATCGAGTTCATTCACCATCAGAACATCCTGCATCTCGATCTAAAGGTAAACGACGGCTTCAATTTTCGTTGTAGATCAATGGCCATCGTTTATTTCGCTGTCTGTGTTCGTTAACTATTCGAGTAACAACGTTTGGTCGTGAACGCGGTGGCTTCGGGAAATATTGAAACAGCTTGGCGAAGCAAAGTTAGGATATTAAACTTGGATATTATGCTAAATAGAGTTTAGCGTAGAATTTCTCCTACATATTTTAAAACACAATTGTTTACAGAAAAACGTGATTGTAATGATTAAACTGTGGACGACGAATTCTACGGATTTATAGCCGAGATGCAAAGTTGAATAGAAGAATTTGAACAAAGTTTTTATTCATTTTTCATTCGCCTGTGCCGACACAAATTCTGTTCGATTCCATTGTCGAAACTTCGTCTACAAAAACGGACAATTTCAGAAACTTCTGCAATTTGCTAACAACATTAAAATCTCCGAAAATCGACGAACTATGTGTCAAGCTATAAGATCGCGGAATAATCGTTTTCTCGGGTCTGTGATCAATAGCGATCGAGTATCCTGCACTCTTACGAGATTATTTGTGCTCTGCTACTGTTGCAAAGCCAGGAATTAGATGCGCCGATGAAATAAATGATCGTAACATCACATTAAACGATCAGGAAATTGTAAACAGGAAGATCAAGGCGAAAGTTGCCAAGAGTCGATAGGATTAACTTATCGTTTTTGGCAACGTTGCTTGTTCGCACCTCGTCCAAGAGCTTGATAACGACATATAGGACGACGCGGTTCAGATCCACGTGCGTTAATTAAATTGGACATTCAATGAAATCTCAATCTTATAACTCTCGATGAACGACTTCGCACCGAACGCGACAATTGTACGCGACGATTCGAACGCATTTCTTCGTCTAGCTTCGTTCCTCGGCGAATTCTTTTCTGAAGAAAATTGTTCTGTTCGCAGCCGGAGAATATACTGTGTCTGACCAAGGAAGGGAACAGGATTAAAATCATAGACTTCGGCCTCGCGAGGGAGTACGATCCGAAGAAGAAGCTGCAGGTTCTATTTGGCACGCCCGAGTTCGTTGCACCGGAAGTCGTAAATTTCGATCAGATTGGTTACGGTACCGACATGTGGAGTATAGGCGTCATCTGTTACGTGCTGTAAGTTTTCCCTCCAGCTTCCACTCTATTTGTTTAAAAACACGTGATCCCGGACGACGGATTTTTAGGCAGCGCGCGCATTTCTTTTTGCGAACAATTTTCACGTGCTGAAAATCGCGGACTGTACGTTCCAAAAATTCTTGAAATGTTCTCATTGTAATAATTCTATTAATATATTTTACGGTAAAATTTACTCATTTACTTTTCTACAAATCGAAATCGACTCGTCATCATAATCTTCCAATATTAACCCTTTGCACTCGAAGCCATTTTAACTGTAAATCTAAATTAACTTTTCTGACTTATAGTATTTCCATTTTATACGACGAAGATTGAATCTTGTGACTCGTACAACAGTTAGGCTTTTAACAATCTTTTTATAATATCTAAGCTTTGATAATATAAATATTATTTTGGAACGTGATGTAATAATTTTTTAGCGGTGCCTCAGAGTCACGACTCGAGTGCAAAGGGTTAAAGTATTGAAACACTGATCACACGTCCATGTTCAAACAGATAACGTTTTCATAGTCGAAGCTTTCGTCACCAGTTTTTAACCCTTAGCACTGACAACATTTTTCTGATATAAGCAACTACCATCAACTTGGAGCAAATTTTGCGAACTGAAATTAAAATCATTATACAGTAAATTCTCTACAAGTGTCGCTCAGCTTGTAAATAAAAATTGACGATTTGGGAAGAGGAGATACGGCTGTTCGAGCCTCGCGGCTCGTTTTTGTAGTGGTCGATTTTCAACAACGATAAAAACGAGTCGCGAGACTCGAATAATCGTATCACCTCTTCCCAAATTGTCCATTTATGTATACAAGCTGAGCGACGATTGCAGAGAATTTGCTGTACTGCTGTGAAATTTCATCGTAATTAATAAGATTAAAAGATCTTGTGTTTTTTTTAATTTATGTATTTCACGCGATTACCTTAACCGTTCGACTGCTTATGTCGCTGTTCTTATTCTGAAAAAATACGTCAGCAGCCAAACGGTTAAACGACAACAATTTAGTGTCGCCGTATCGGGGACATCGGGGTGCAAAGGGTTAAAAAATCACGTATGAGAATTGGAAAAACTTACGTGTTCGATCTCGCGTTCGACGAAGATTGGCTTAGTTCGCTCGTTAAAGTGCCAATAATCATCCAAGATTGAACATGTTTTTGAAAAAGCAATAAAGAACAGTTCGATGGGCTGACTTCCAGATTGTCCGGGCTGTCTCCGTTCATGGGCGACACGGACATCGAGACGATGGCGAACGTGACCATCGCTAAATACGACTTCGACCACGACGCGTTCGCCAACATATCCGAGGACGCGAAGGACTTCATCCGGTGCCTCCTGGTCAAAGACAAAGAGTACGTATCGCTTGTTATTTTCGATCGCACGCGACATTGCGCGGCGCAGAAGGTGATTATGCGCGAAAATATCCCGGCTGGGTGCGTCACCGATGTTGACACCGATCGACCGATGTCGAACGGATGAACCAACGGCGGACCTTTTGCACGGCGATTAACGATGGGAACGGCTCAGATAACGGAATCGCGGCTCGCACGCCGTGCCAAGAAAATTCGACGGACAGCGCTAATAACTCTCAGCCGTGTTTAGGCTATGCGAACGGATTAGATTATTCCATCTTTCTGTCCAAATAATTCGACGCGCGAATCGTTCAAGTTATGCGGAACGATGGGAACGGGTTCGGCAAGCATTCTGCCGAGAAAATTCAAATTCAGTTTCATTTTCTGATAAACGTTGAAACGTTCGGACGGATAAATCTAGCACTATTTTACTTTTACAATTTATCTCTACGATCATCTCTTGGGAATTCGAACGTTACTCACGCGATGAATTTTTACGAATGCAATTCTACGAAGAATAAACAGCTGCGTCGACAATTAATACAGCAGATATCGATCTGTCCACGTTTTCGTAAAATCGCACACTCGTCGAAGTTTCCCATATCTTTGTGCATGGCGAAACTAAAGAAACGATCATGTTATCTGGGCCGCCGCATCGACGTTCGCGACTCTATCGCGCCGATTCTTCGACTTTCTCTCTCTCCCTTTGTGCCCGATTAACCCCCAAGCATGCTTTCTTCATTCTCGACACTTGAGATTCGCTCCGCTTGAAACCAGACACGATCTAGCGAGTCAATTCGAGCGAGGAGTAATGTTCAAAGCGTGAAGTGCCAAGTGACAAGACGACTAATAGACTTGCGCAACGTAAAATACCGAGGATGAGGAATCGTTCATCGGCGTGCGTTCACGAGCAGTCTCTGACCAGCTGCCTCGAGTTTCGAAAAAGAACAGACCACCAAAGACGAAGAAAATTAAGCGAAATGCTCCATGAATCGCCTAGCTTCCCGGTAGATCGGTTCCGCCATTTTGTCGCTTCCTCCACGCTTCCGCATCACCACGCGCACTCACAATTCGCCTTGAGACCGTCTCGTGTGTGCGTCCAGGGTGGTGCGAAAATCGCGAAAGCGAGAAAAAAGAAAGAGAGAGAGAGAGAGAGAAAGCAAGAAAGAAAACAGCGATAGCTCACGAGGCAGCTGAATATTTCAGAAAACGAATGTCGGCGAAGCAGTGCAAGGAGCACCGTTGGCTGTCGAGAAAGCCGAGCAATCAACGGGCGGATCGAACGGAGCTGAATCCGGAACCGGCGAAGCAGATGCCGCAGATCACGAGGGTGCTGGCCAACAACAACCTGGAGGAGCTGGACGTGACCAAGGACAACCTGAGGCTGTTCGTCGAGCGCTGGCGAGAGCACCCCGACAGCCCCTATATGATCGAGCTGCCTCAGTTAGGCGCCTCCGCGAACCACGACCTCGAGGAACTGGTGTCGTTGCAGGGTCAGAGCCCGTCGCCCTGCGCCAGCATCTGCAGCACATCTTCGGAAGCAGCGGAGATCTCGCAGGATACGCAGGGCTATTTGACGGTGCCCAGCTTCAGCTTCGAGAGGAGAGCCTCGGAGGGGGTCTCCACTGACAAGTCCCGCAGCGACCCGGCCAGTCAGATCGTCCTCGCGGAAGAGATCATCAAGCTATCCGAACACTTGAGATCCATAGCAATGGGCACCCGGCTGAAGAGCAACGAGGACCAAGTGGACGGCAAGAAGCCCGCCGAGAAGCAAGAGGAGAAGGCCAGGAGCAACCGCAACGGCGTCCACTCGAGGAACAACGGCCTGGTCCAGGCCGGTTCCGAGTGCAACGAGATCACCCAGAAACTGTCCAGCATAGTGAGACACCGGAAGCTGAACGGGACCACGTTCCACAGCAGCCGCAACTTCGACAGGCTGACCGAGACGAACTCTGCGAACATGTTCGCGTCGTTCAAGAAGAAGAGCGGAGAAGGGAGGAGCTCGAAGGAGGAGAGGATCGGCGGCCGGGAAGAGGGAGCGAAGTGTCTGGACTCGGAGAGAGCGAGCAACTTCGCCAGGAACAGGATACTCAGCGATGGTGAGATCGATTTAACGCCACCGTGGCGGCGTCCCAGAGTGAAGCACGTCTTCGGGGAGACCAGCAGGGACGTGCCAAGGATCTCCGAGCTCCAGGACGTTCATAAGAGTTTGAATTTAGACGAGCCGACCAGCACCAAGGATTTGCTGCTGCACCTGCTGGAGGAGTGGGACGAGGTGGCTACCAGGCCTTCGGGAGTCGGCCGGAAGTCGGTCAGCGCTGACTGGTGCGGGGAGGAATCGGTCGCCAGGAAGACCATGAACTCCCTGGCCGAGTACTTTCAGTCGAAGCAACAGAAGTCGAGCACGTCCAGCGTCAACGCCACCGCGCCGAGCTCGATACATCGCTGAGGATCATTTCCGGCGCTCGAGGACTTGACGAATCTCGCACAATCGAACGATTTCCTCGATCGGAAGTTCCGGGGAAGTATGGGAACGCTCGTGTCGTTGTTTGATACAAGTGGGTTCTTTGCTCGGTGCTGAAAGGTTATGGAAGTTCCGATGTGGTTTGAGCTGATTGTAGGAGTCGGTTTTTTTGGAACGGTCGATTTTCATTCGATTACTTTCGAACGAATGCTCTTGTTCAGTCTAAATTTTCTACGGGGAATGAGCTTTTTAGTATGGTGGATTGCATATCGTGTTGGTACATGTCTCCTTTGTAGATGGTATCGGAGTACGGTATCGGAGTGAGATATCGAGAATTACGTTTGTTTATTGTGTATTATAAATGTGCATGCGTGGACGTACGTATTATTTATATTCTAAGCTAAATTGTGTAACAGTCACGTGTGTGCGCAACGATCTCTCGCACGGATTGCATCGGGATCACATGTCTGTGCATGTACTCTCTTGTTTTATTGTATTATTTATATTATATGTTTAATACAAAATACCATGAAACGCGTGCGTTGTATGCTGTTTCATTTCACGACGTCCTCTTGTGATTCACTAACTCGAGACGATCGGCTCCGAGGATCCCTGGAACGGAAGATCCTTCGAATCAATTTTCGAACGATTCGTGTCCGAGCTATCTTAGAACTAACGATCCAAGCCGAACGATCACCGAATCATCGATCCCGAGTCACGCTTTGGATTCAGGCTCCTCGATCCGGAATTTCTTCGATTCGATTCTGGATTTTCCGAAAGGAAAGTTTCTCGATCCCGAATCCTTCTAATCGAACCACAAATCTAACATTTAGTCTAAAAACTAATGCTCCATGTCGGAGGATCGAAAGTACGATATTTATCGAACGAATCTTCGGAATGAGATCAGATCCGATTGGAACGCAGACTCACCCGGAAACTTTGATGATTGTTCTGCTCCAGGATGAGGCCGTCCGCGGGCCAGCTGATAGATCACCGATGGCTGGAGGCAGCGCTGGAGAACCTGATCTGTAAAGTTCGATTAAAGCGTTACGTGATCAAGAAGAGATGGGTGAAAGCGGTGAACACCATACTGGCGTTGAAACGCATGGGCGCCCACCTAGATTTCGAATCAGTATGATCATCTATTCTTAGCTGGTAAAACTAATGTTTCGACTAGACGTTTGACGAGCACGTTAGTGGTTAGACAATGCCGCGAGGATTAAGCTTGGGCTGCTAAACTTACGATTTCAAGTATTAATACCTTCCACTATATGATCTTTCTAACGCTGTTTTTAACGAATTCGCTCTAGAAAGGCTTGCGTCGTTTCTTCTAGGTATCTCTTAATTTCCTTTCTTTTCTTTTTTCTTCTTTTTTTCTTTGACGAGTACGATGATGTCTTGTATTTGTGAAGATTTCAAGATGATACACAGTGCCCAGACTTATATGCGTACGATTTTCTGTGCAACAGTATTATATTATAGGATTGGCACTGCCGCTACGGGCGATAAAAATAATTCCAAAGGCGAGCTAGATCGACAGCGAACTACCGTAGAATAAATCTTGATGTTTCGTGATCGAGTAGAGGCGATCCATTCGGCGTGCTATTTTCTGAAGGGATACCGACGTATACTTCCGCTTCGAGTTCCAAACGTTTGAAACGGTAATCGCGCGACAGGAATGATTAACGCGAACATGGTCATTCGCTGTGCGACGAAACGCGTGGTTTGAACTCTAGTAACCGGTTAGGGTAGTCGTGTGTACGATTGTTCGTACGTTGATACGATTTCTATCGTAATCATCGATTCGCGTTAACGATCTCCAAAACTGTTAATTCGACGAACAAGTGAAAAGCTTGTAATTCATTACTAATGATAGTCTTCCTGTTAGAAAACAGTGTACAAATTTTGATAGAACCCCGTTTTAAGCGCGAAATGTAGCAGGACGTGTGAACAAACTTAAAATACTCATTTTTTGTAAATAAACACAGTTTTGACAAATGATTTCAGTTCTCCTATATTCTCTACCGAGCGCCCGACAGTTTTATGATAATTACCTTTTGCACGTTGTTTAAAATGGCTAATCAACGTTCCGACTTTACGTTTCCAATTGTTCAACTTTTTCGATTGTCTTTTCGTTTATGGCCGCCGTTCCGCTCCCGTTCATGGCCGCCATTGCAGTTTCCATTCGAATTTTGCGTTTTACCGTGCTACTGAATAGAGTTCGCGGTTACGACGTTGACCTCGATCTAAAAATCGCGTAAAATTAATTACTCTTTTGGAAGCCGACTTTTTCAGCTTCTTTTTACGCGACGTCAGCTCGCGGCAATATATTGGATCGACTTTGTAATACCTCGGACGGTGAATTCTTCAATTATTTTCGTAATTTTTCGTGTATTTTTTTTTACTTCTTATTCGAAATAGGAGAAAATATCATGAGAAAAATCGTTAGTCTCGAGGGGTAAAATATCGTGGCAAGTTAAAGATCAGTCTAGAAGCTAATTGCGCATTGAATGACGACTGGATCACGGTCAATTTGCAGTCTGCATTTCTGGGACGTGGGACGACAAGATATCCGCGCGAAGTCGACCATCTGTAACGGTCGTAATAAATACCGAAAGGTCGTCTTTGACGCCACCGTGGCAAAATATACGCGTTCGGACTCGAAATTCCTGAGGGCGAGCGCGGTATCGCGGATTTACGAGGTCCGCACGCGATCGGAATTTGTATTATGTAAATACACGCGTGTTGCGCGCCAGTCGTGCCTTTAAATAAAGTCTTCTACAGTGTCGTGCAGAGCACGTTCTTCTACTATATTAATAGCTATAGTTCCACCTGTTGTCTGCCGTCTACGCTCCGATTGCGACCGATTCTGGTCGCAGTAATATGGGGGAGAGACACGCACTATATTTTCAGGACCGAAAATATTATTCCAACAATTTTTTCCGGAAAATATTGGTAATTGATAAAGGTGTGCGAAGACCCGGAAATGTAGGTTAGCTATCGGATCGGGTTGAGTCGGACCGAGAAGTTATCGAAACCCAAACGTGTCATATACTTCGAGAATATCTGGATTTCTTAGAATTTTGTGCAGCTGATATTTTGGAATACTTGCACATTTAGACACTGCTTTCTTTTGCATCGGTTTAGACGAATTCGAATTTATCGTCGCAGAGGAACTGTGGCGCCTCTTATGGCGGAATCATAAAGCTTTATTCGACCTCTGTACAGCGCCAATTAGTCTAGCGGCAAAGCGCTCAAACTGTTGAACAAAATCGACTAACGGTAATTTGGCTAGCATTTTGAACGTTTTGCCAGTAAACCGATTGGCGCGGTACGCAGGTCGAAAGAAGCTTCTTAATTATGCCGCAAGAGGCGCCACTAGCCCCCATTATATTACAATACTCTTATTTATTATAATTGTTTGTTGACATGGAGGCTCCTGGCATAAAGTAAACCCGAACCTGATCTTTTGTTGATAATAATGTAGACATTGTCAATTGTTCAAATGTTTCAATCGTTGTTCAACAATTTTGTGCCATAACTTGTTGACAATTAGTCTAATCAACAACTGTTTCTAACCTCATTCTGATCAAGATGGTAAGTAAAGACTCTTTTAAAAACAGTATTACAAAGTGATAAAAAGATCTCAAATTTCAGTGCTTTTTAAAACAGAAAATATGACTTATCTCTAGATTTTCACACACGTGTGTTTGTATATTCTTCAAATCGATCAGAATTAAGATTATAATGACGTTAATGTTTGCTTAAATTTTAGACAGATCCATTACAGAATTGGAGTCCGTATGCCAAAGAATACGATCCTCTGAAAGCTGGCAGCATCGACGGCACGGACACAGAACCGCATGATAAAGCTGTCAGCCGAGCAATGCAAGCACATTATGAGCCTCCTCATGGATTGAAATCTAAACCAGAAAGGACATTATTTGTAGCTAGATTTGGTCCAAAGATTACTAAACACGATTTGAAAGATGTACGCGTTTGCTGTTTACAAACGTTAATAGTATTACACGCGTACCACGTGTCAATAAATTCAGTTTTTTTCTAGATATGGGGATGTTTTATCGGCAAAAGTCATAGTTGACATTGTAACAGGCCTATCCCAAGGTTATGGATTTGTGGAAATGAGAAACGAGGATGAAGCTAGAAGGGCTGTCAGACGTTCGATGGATACAGCTTTAAGGGGCTACAAAATTTTTGTTGATTACGAATGTGGTCGCACCATGAAAGGCTGGAAACCGAGGAGGCTTGGTGAGCGAAAACTCTAAGAAGTCTTATTTATTAATTAGAAATCATATTTATAGCGATTGTAATTTTTATTAATTTTTCAGGCGGTGGTTTTGGCGGCAAGAAAGAATCTGGACAGCTGAGATTTGGAGGAAGAGACAGACCTTTCAAAAAACCAATTGTTCCTAATATTATAAGACACCATAAATAAACTAGCTTTCTATCGTACTTTAAAATAAATGAAATTTATATATTTATAACAATAAGTTAAATTATAGAAAATGTAGTTTGAGAAACATTTCCTTATTCTACTAGAAGTTTTATCATATTCGTGAAGAGATAAAAAAGTCGTTAAACATTTTTCCATGTAGAGCTATAAAAGATAAAACATGCTATTAAATTCCACAGTCTAGACATCGCAACCAAAGTGCATTCAATAATTTAGCTTCACTAACTACTTAAGCTTTTAGTTTATCGCACAGTAATAGAGGCAGGATGTAACGAGTTGAAATTACGCTAACAACATCATTGTAGCGCATCTGTACGCTGAAAGCTGCACACGTAAACTGTTTTAATTTTGACTGCGATCCAATACAAATATTCGAGACCCGTATATTTTCTCATGTGTCCTCTAAACGGAGCGACTTCTGTATACATATTATGAAACTAAGAGAATTGTGTTAGCGCATCGCTGTACGTCCCGCGCTAGAAATAATCGCGTTGTAAAAACAGCATTTACATAAAACGAGCTCGAATCTTGTAAAAAGCCAACGTTTCGAAGTACAATAAATTGTCGCGGACCGAAAAAAACATTTTTTCGTATCGGGCGATGGTTCCGCCTGGGATCGCGCGCGTAAAATAACATTTTATCGTTCTCTTTTTACTCCGGTATCACGAGAGCCGGGTTATATTTGAATTTTATTGATACACACCTTCTAAAGTTTCCGTCACTGATGCAATATATTCAGAAGAAACTTTTTTTTTCCCTCGCATTGCGTAAATTTCGAACCGATGCCAAATCCTCTCTTCGTGACTTATTCTCTCGTATTAGTTTTCTATATTTACAAAACACGTCTGGAATGAAAAAGTCATACTCTAAAATAAAATATAAGCGTTTGAAAAAGCATAATCTAATTACACGTGAAACAAACGAATGCATGGTCGAGATCATAAGGGATGATTACTTCGTTGTGTTTAAATAGTACAAAAAAGAATCAAGAAAACTATGTAGCTCGAACATTTTGTCGAAACGTTGCTGATCATGATTCGGTGTTAAGCATACGGATCGTAATTCTATCTGTCCGGAAGAACTCATTAACTCAATCACCGAACCATTTCGAGATATCCAAGAGCGTAGCTATTTCCGTTAGACCAGTCAACAGTTTAACTCGTTTTCTCCGAAATTAATTAACGCATTAGCGGTTAATGACTTTCAACGAGGTAATAGCAACACACAGAGGGATACCATAACTGATTTGATTTCATTAACGGGACCTAGTTGCATTCTGATCGAACCGATATTACGGTCATTAAAATTCACCGTTATGCCTTGCTTCCTTGGCCGACCAGTTTGATAATTCTCCTAATTCTAATTGCTCTAAATTAACGATGTCAATGGACAAATGTTTTCAAAAATCGGATAGACCTTTGCAAATTTTAAGTGCAACTTTATCATTATGATTTCCCAATAGGTATTGACCAATATTTATTATATATTTATCACCAATATTTAACGGAAAATCGTATTTTATTCATACGTTCAATATTTATTGACGATACATTCAATTTCGAGTAAAAAGAAGACTTCGTTTATGCTTGTATTTTCTATGAAGGAGTAAAAAAATAGAATAGTTCATCTCTAAAAAGACTGACATAAAAATATACGTATCTCAAAGCCAATCATCCTGTATCCAAAAAAGAAGGCGGTAATTCCAGGTGAACCACCCTGCATATTATACTTCATCCCTTTAAGGTCCTAAGTCGAGCCAGACTTTACAATGACTCTTGCAGCAATAGTTGTTTATTTGACAGATGTACGTTACATTTTTCAATAGTACCAGTAATTACATAGTACGCGAGAACCGAATGAAAAATGTTACTATTTTCCAACCGCTTTAAATAGCTGAACTATACGATGCTGTAGCAAGTTACGAAATAGAATAGAAGCGACGCTTTGGACCACAAAGGGTTAATTTCTACCCTTGACAAACCGGAGTGTACAAAGTTGTGGAGAGTTAGCCAGCCTTTTCCTACTGTAGTCTCCTGTGGGTCAGATTCTCTAGCCGCGTATACACGAACAGTATCAGTAAAGGTACAATACATTCAAATAATATAGCGTTTCATAGTAGTCCATAATATGCATTCATATATTCGAATAAACTGAATGTGTCACCAGGATTTCTAGTATGAGAAAGAGTTAGAGCAACAATTATTATGGTTAATTTTAACTTTCTAATTTCGGTTGCATTATATAAATAACTTTGACACTGTGTGACTATAAACTTTGACTACAAAATCATACAGAAATTCAATGTTGGGATCGCTAATGACTCTCGTGTACCAATTAACACCTGTCACTGCAACAGTCTCGATAATTTTACAAAATTAAGGTAAATCATTTAATGAAATTTAAATCGCATTATTTAAATAAATAATCATAATATAAATTTAAATCAAATTTAATTTGTATGGGATCAATTACTTTTTCGACGTTCTTACGTTTCATTGAGTTATATTTTGTTACGCTTTTTATTGAATTATATTCTAATAAAATTAGAAATATCCAATCTCGATCAGCTCAAAAATTAATCGTAACTAATGGCGACGCGGCAGTCGATGCTTTATAAAATGTCGACGATCTGTGACCCTCCACCTTGGTAATTCAAAGAGTAAGGGTAGAGGGTGGTAAGGCTAGAACCGATTAATCAGCGATCGCCACGGATCGAGGGAGCCAAGGTGTCGTAGATTTCTGGCGCGGTGTGAGCCGACGTCGTCAGCGTCGTGGAACTTTATACTCGAGCGTCGCGGCGCCCTCTCCCTGGCTCGACCCCCTCCATATAAGGAGTCGCCTCGTGGTCCGGCGTCGGCCACGCGGCCGAAGCTTCAGCCTCCAGGCTGCCTCTGATAAGGTAGCCTCCTTCCTCGACGTCTCGCAGCCGCCTCCGGCATCGCCAAGGTCTCAAGGAGAGCCAACCCACATTCGTTTATCGCGGCTCCTATTTCGTCGTCGCCGTCGTCGTCGTCGTCGTCGTCGTCGTCGTTTCGCTTCGGCTTCGTCCGCTGCTCCCGTTTCCACAACACAACCCCGTTGCTTGGTGCTTTTTTTATTCACGGACACAGCTGCCACCGAGCCCCCGTCTCGCTTCTCTGATCGGTCGGAAAGAAGCGACGCGATCTCGAGCGGATTTCCGTGTCCGGGAGCCTTTGCGAGATCGTTCGGATTCGAGCCTTCATCCCCTATGTTGCTACCAGCAACTTGCTGCGTTAGTTCTCTTTGGGAAGATGGATCGCTGAGTTTGTTCGCTAGAAGCAGAGTACTTAAGATCCTGCGATTTTCACTCTTGCTTCTAGCCATCAAGCATAAAGATCACATCGGTCAATCTGAAGATCGCATTTTCATGTATTCGTATTTTGTAATAAATTATAACGGGTCAGACTGATTCTACCTGCAAACAAAACATCTTCACAGCTGTCTTTCACCTGGTTGGGTAGAGGGTCCACGGTAAAGAAGCAAGAGTTCAGTTCAGTTTAGTTCAGTTTTATTTTTGTTGCGGTGCTCGAGACCACAAATATCGCCTAATTACACCGTATCTTGTACATCCACAATTTACGTTTCAATTCTTACTTGTTACTCTTAGAATCTTTAAATGGACAATGTATCTCTGAAGTTGTATATCGTAATTGTAACGTAAATATCGCTGGTTCCGTGTAACATAACATAACTAAAAAATAAAAATCGCTGGTCCCGCGTAACATAACCTAAATAAATACAGTGTTGTGAGATTAACAAGTGAGATTCAACATACTTCTTCCTATTGTGTAAATCCTACTCAATTTTCCTTCGGCTTGTAAACAAAAATGGGCAATTTGGGAAGAGGAGCTTCGCGGCTCATTTTTATAGTTTCCGATTGTCAACAATTATAAAAACGAGGCGCAAGGCTCGAATAATTTTTGTTTATAAACTGAAGGAAAATTAGGGAGAATTGACTGTACCCCAAACTGTAATCAGACTGTATTATTATCGGCTACATTTTATGTACGATATTTAATATTAAATCCTAATCGCTCTTACAATTATGTGAACTTCAATTTCACGTATTCCCGATATCTATCTCTTTCACCCTTCTCATTTTTATTATCGTAATCTTATGTCTACTGCCTTACTATTCTAACTCCTTTCTTTTCTCTTTCAGGGTGTTCTTTCGATTTAAAAGAAGCAAGGGTGGAAGCGGTTAATGGTTAATGGGAGGATCGCGAAGAAAATTACGAGGAAGTCCGTAAAGAAGATCACGAAGAAAACCACAAATGGTTCCATGAAGAGAGGAAGGTTCAAAAACTCCTTTGATGTAGAGCCAGGGTTAAATGATGCTATGGAAACAATTAGGGTGTTAAAAGAATACCAACCAAGAAGAATGAAAAATGTCCAATCATCATAGATTCTAGAAGACATAGGACATCATAATACCTTAGTACTATGCTACAATCGGTACATAGAGCCAGATTGAATCTTGAATTAAAGGGGTGTTTTAGCTTTGGTCGAACACGCTCTACACGTGTCTATCCTAGTTTAGAACGTAAAAATGTACTAGACAAATAAATAATGAATGAGGCAACGAAACGATCGATGCCGAGATGGCGTGAACAGCCACTAACCGCGAAAATTCGCATGACGCCGCAATCGCGTCACCGGTCGTTATAGCGTGCTAACGTTCTCGCGACCATGTGTGTTTGGCTATGCTCGACGCTGGTCACTGGCTAGCATAAACTGATTACTGACAATGCTGGTACGCGTCTTGCTTAATTTATCCTTTGTTATTTAATCACTTATTTCTGTGCTTAACCCCTTCTGGTCCACTGGTGCAGATAACCAACGACACCGAAGAGATTCCGGTCGACGGAAAATCGTATTTTCATTGTCTCGCGCTCCACCCACGAAAGGGTTGCACTTCGAAATGCAACTGTATTTTTTCTTTTTTAATTATAAACGCGAACTATAATATTGACAGTGGGGAGTAAAAAAAAAAAATAACGGCGCAACAGAAGGCAAAAAGGGCGAAATAAATTGGAGTAGAAATCAAATATTTTTCATGGA